TCTGTCATTTGTTGCCATGTGGGATGATATTTTCTAATTGGGTGCATGGATAGTTTTCAGAATCCTGAATAAGTTCTCCAGGCAAGCAGTTATTGACTTCCAAAATGTTCCCCAGCTGTCAAGCAGTTTAATACTGTTTTTAAAAAAAAATCATTTTTTGTTCTTGCAGTTCTCTTGCTTCAGGTTATTGGCACATTATTGTACATCTGTAGGTTTGAGCTGTTGACAAAAATATAGCATGCATTACTGTTATTTTTGGCAACATGTAGCCAGATTGTGAATAGATTTGAGTGGTGACACCTCATGTTTTTTTTCCTTAATGCATGACCAAGTGAGTATTCTGCAGTAGCCTTTGAAAAGGAGCGATTCTGAATATATCATCATAGATAATGTGATGTTAATATTTAAAAGTACTTAGCCCTGGCTATATTCCACTGGCTTGACTTTCAATATAAACATTTTGGAGAGCACAGTAAAACAATGTGTTTCTTTTATATAAGGAAAATGTGCAGGTAGTTCATTTGATTATGCTAAAAGTTAAACCCTTGATAAGATCAAGCAAGAATCTGGCGATACTATACGTATCACGATACAGGGGTTACATGTCAATATATTGCGATATATTGTGATTAGACTTGGGGGGTTGAAAACGAAAAACTAACAGTCATCTACTAGTTATAGGATTCATTTTAGCATGCATGTCATTGTCTAGCCAACAATGTTGTGTTTCTAATATGGAAAGTCCTGCTGGGTTCAAATACTTAAAGCCCATGAAATAATGATTAGATAAGAAATAAGTGCCCTCCTTGCTGGAGTACCCAGTGATGATGCCCGTTGCCGTGGCAGATAGTGACACATCAGTGGATTGAATGGAGGTGATGTGATGATAAAACCATGTGGCTAATAAACAGCTTTTGTCATTGGAAAAAGTCATCTCAAGACAAAGTTATATGTGACAATACTCCCAAATAGGGGCAGTGGATAGGGGTGGGCCATGTCATCTTGTTCACGATAATACCGTTATATTTATTAATATATGAAAAATTCACATCATGATATTCGCGATATTTGGACTTGTTGACATATTAACGTCATACTGTTACCCACCGCAACAACAAACATGGCTAAAAGCTGAATAATTAGCGACTCTGCGCTAGTTTCAAAAAGAGGAGCAGCTTTAGTACCGTGGAATAAACTGTGGCATCCTGAATGTTTTATGAACAGCCCCGGACTTCTCAGACTCTTTTAGCAAGTTACTGTGAGTTACTCTCCCTGCAGAGGGAACTCATTCAGTGGATCTGCCAACAGCAGCACACCATCTTTCCCTCTCCTCTCTCGCCTTGTGTCGTCAAGTGATGAAACCTTTGGTAATGTAAACCTATATGTTACAGCGTGATGATTAGAGGAGAAATGGGAGAGCATAAAGGTCCAGGTGGAAAAAAACAAAACATCACAACAATCATTTAGGATTTGCTAAAAGAGAAGGAAATCGCCTGATAATTTAGAAATATAGATCCCAGGGTACATTTTTTGTATTTGAGAACTAACTTTAAATATGTAATTAATAGTAGATTTATTTTGTTGTACTATTAATATGGTATACAGAATTTGAATCTCACTCTGAGTAACTGTTGTTGTTTACAAACAAATCAAAATCTCAATCATTTCTGTTCAGTTTTTACTGAATATTTGAAGGTGAACTGGTTGACATGTGAAACTATATCACTTATTTAATAATAAAATATATATAGCTATATATACATTTTTTTTTTTACCAATTTGTCATATCAGTAAGAATATTATTGCAAAAATACCCTTAATACTAATACCTTAATATTATTTTAGGGCCATATCGCCCACCCCTAGCAGAGACATTGTTCTTTTTTATTTGTCCAGTAACATTATCCCCATCACTCGCAGTCACCTTTTTTAGCTCAGCCTCCTGTTTCACCAGTGGAGATTGACCTCTGGTGGCATCTGTATTTTTGATGGTATTGTAAATCATACCGTTGGAATCACACAATACTTGATACTGCCAACTGCAATACTGTAAGCAAGAGGATATATTGCTATTTTCAAACCCAATTTTAAGAGAACTGTTGTCGTATAAAGAACGCATCACCATCTGCATACAACTTAACCCTATGGGCCCGAACGACGCATAGTGCGTCCAAATTCACACCTGGTCTTCTCTATTGATTTTCTCCACGACCGTGCCTCATAGTGAGAAGCCACGCATATCACGTGAAACAAGGGAATTGTAGCTTTCCGACAAGGCCAAGCACTTGTCGGTAGTCCAATGTTTTCACAGCGAAAAACAATGATAAAATTAGACTAAAATTATGTATAACAGAGCTTTCATACTGCTTTGCCCACACATCACTCTTGGATAGATTACTCATGAATGCAGGCTCGCACAGAAATGCCACGCATATCACATGAAAGTGCAGGACCAGAGCTTTCCAATGATACCACACACATCATTGTACTGTCATCCCATCATGCTATAAATCCAGATTAATTGTCTACAAAATAAAAACCTGACGAATATCTTTACAATCCATTATACAGATCTTGTTATCAGTCACTTCATATAGTGAGGAATATCATATCTTACCACGTCTCAGGCTTGTATGTGTTTCTCCCTGTCTCTCCCTGCTTGCGTGTGTTTCTCCCTGTCTCCCTGCCCCTGACAGGGCTGTAGTCACCATATACATTAAGGGGGACATGTGTCCCCCCCCAATGCCCAAAATGCCCCCCCAATATATAACTGAAACTGAAAAACAACAACAGACTTTGTTTACTGTAAACAAAGTAGCAAATATTATCTTGGAGGACATCATTGCACTTGGTTGACTATTTTCTATGATCTTAGATGTAAATATTGCATGTTTCTTTCAGATAAAACACATTTTTGACTTGTGAATGAGTCAATGGAATTTCTTGCAATAATGAAAAAATACTGGCAATCATGTCCGCCTGGCACAAACCACATGTTTTGGACAGCTGTGAAATGACAGAATGTCCCACCATCATGGTTCTTAAGTGCAACACACACCGCCGCCGTACGCCGCGCGTCAAAACGCCCGCCTCCATTATATTCTATGAACCAACCCACACTGGCGGCGGCCGCCGCGCCGCTCTGCTTCAGCCCACTGCTCTATTTCCAGCGTGGCCGGGACTCATGGCGGCGCTGCGAGAAAAGCCTTTTATGTACGTCTCGTCTCATAGGATCAGCTCCGGTTGTTTCAAATTTTTAATAAGACAACTTTGATAAGAAACTCACCCATGAAATTTAAGTTGTTGTTGCCTCAAAGTTTTTCCTCTTCTTCTTCTGTTACTAGCAGTTGGCAACCGTTGGCAACTAGTGTAGGTACAGCCACCTAGCGGGCTGGGGTGGGAAATACATGTTGACAGTGCCGCTGCGCGCCGCTGCCAGTGTGTGTTGGGGGGCGGCACTTGACGGCCACAGCGCCGCGCCGGAAGCGGTGTGTGTTGCACTTTATATTGCCAGATTCCAGAGAGTCTTCCCTCTTCAGATATGGCAGAATATGTCATTTTCCAACTTGCTATGCTGAGATACATGTAAAAATATAAGAATTTAGTAACACGGATTTGTTTTTTTTTCATTGATATAAAAATTCATATAAAATACAGGCACATAGAAGGACATGGAATGATGGCAAATCTGGATAGCCCAGATTGTCCTGAAAAAAAAAAACAAAACAAGATAAAGCATGTGTATGTAGCCTTTATAATGACTGTGATATGAGCTTAAAAGTAAAGGCAGTAAAAATACCCCAAAAGCGCCTAAAAAAAAAGTTTACTTTCTATTACAATCAGAATAGTGGGACCTATTTTTCACAGTCCCTGAAACACACAAGTAATATGTTATGTTGAAGTATTGTTGTCACAAAAATGGAATTTCTAACTTTGAAATAATACCTTGAAATATATCAATATTCGATACTGTGTTAGACACCAGAAAATTTACATTTAAGACATAAAATTTCAGATTTTTATTAAAAGATATAACAAAACTATAACATGACAATGATGACCTCCTTTCTTGGATAGTGGCAATGAACAGCAGAATGACTGTAATAAACTATCAATAAGAGACCGCGAGAAAGCGCAGCTGGTAACAGTGTATATTGATACTGCTGAAAATGAGAATTTAAACTGCTTTAAATATTCAGAATCAATATGTATCAATCAATTGATAGTTTTGACAACACAATGTTGGGGTGTGTCTGTTGGGGTGTGTCTGTCTGCAACACCGCCTGTGTAGATTTTACCTTTAATAGGAACTGGCACTAAATTTTTAAATTTGTTTGTATTTATGTAAATATATGCATATACAATACACATGTATATACTAATATGTATCACTTTATATTTGTATTTATATCATTATTTATTTAAAATACAACAATTTATAACTGTACAGCTCTGGCTGTAACTGAAGATGGCTCTTCTACCGGTATCAAATCCTGTCCATGTCTAGTTATAATGTTAAATAGTCCATTAACAGTAAATATGATTTAAGATTGGCTATTTATTGTAGCCTGACTTGAGGCTGCTGGTTTGACTGGTTTCATCCATACATAACAAATAAGCAGGAACAAACAGCAACAGAAAAAGTAGTGTTTAAGTAGTGCAATGCAATGGCACTGAATGCAATGCAATGTGGTTTTAATTCTGAGTTCCAACACTGCACCACTTTGTCGGTATGGCGAACAAAATCTGTGGTAAAAACAAGGCAGCCCTGAAAACATTGCACTTCATCTGTCAAAGGTTCCCCTGATGATTCATTGTGGCTGACATCAGTGACAGAAAAACCAGAGCGATGGAAATCTATTCAAATGTGGTGAGGCTCAATTTCCCCTTTCATGAGAGAACTGTGGATAATATGTTGGACCCAGACCAGTAGGGGGTAAAATAGCTCCATCAGTCTTTTCAAGTCAAAGTGAGGTGGAGGGAAACAAGTGAAACGCCGATGCATAACACTGACATTTTTTAATAGAATTAATTTATAACAAATGGAACTTGTGTCAGCAAAGAACTGATTTTCATACAGACTTCTTTCGCCACCAATGTAACCTAAGTAAGAAAATAAAAAGCACTCCTTTCATTCAGAAAAAGAAACAGTTTACGCTTACAACTAATCAGAGGTAATTGTATGATCTTTTTAACAAGCCATTTTTTTTTTTTTTTTTACAATTTCATTATTTAATTTTCAGTCTATGCATCCAGACGAGAGATAGATAGAGAGAGCAGAGAACACAACGTTTATTTCTGTTAATGACACTCCAAGCTTGAATGGCAAAGCCACAAGAACAGATGGTTGGGGGACAGATTTTTCTGAAGTCATCTGCTGGAGTAACCATGGCATCATCAGAATGGATGCTCTTTTTCGCCACAAACTTTTTTTTTTTTTTGTCTTTTTCAAGAGTTGATACCTTTTTTGTGTTATTTACATACACACAAAGTGAACGTTTAAGGAGATTTTTTTTTTTTTTATAGATGGGTTCAAGTAATATATTATTGGGTTTAGAATCAATAGGGCAGTGCATAGTACAAAGATAGAGAAAGTGCAAATCTTCCTACCAGGCCAGCTTCGGCCATTCTGCAATGTTTCACCCTGCATATGGAAAATCCATTTTTTAAAAACAAGGAAAAACTGAGATGAGAAAATAAACATCCGAGACTTGAACATAATGTAACGTTAGCCACCATGAGGTTAAATAATAGCACTTTTATATCTCAAAAATTATGACAAAAGTAATCAGTTAAGCAGTTGACAAAAGTAAAACACATAGCTGCTTGAGTTAACAAGGGAAAGAAAGCACCTGGAATGCACATCCACAAAGCCATCAAAGAGGGTATGGAGAAGTTAAAGATGCTGCTCAACACGAAGACTGAAACACAACCCAACTAAACCCCAGTCTCTAAGTGTAACGTCGTAAAAAAAGGAACACCGTTTAGGATTGTCAGGATAACAGAACTGAAATTTCGTTGCAGATTGTGTTTCTCTATATCTGCTCTCTGTAGTGACACACATGAAGTCTGGGATTCAAACCTAAGGCATGAAGAAGAAGAAACCCTGCGGTGATGACCTGCGCATTAGGCATTCTTTTTGACCGAATCTATTTTTCGTTTGACAATTTTAAAATGCGACCATGGTGACAGTTGGTGAAAAGCTCATGACTGTAATGTTTGGGCCTTCATCCTGTTTAGTTCTGAGAGCAGTATTCTGCAATCTCATCCCTGTCTCTATGTCTGGAAATGTTAAATATATGTTGTGTAACTACTGTGTATTGTTGACTGTTTTCTGCCGAGGTCAGTGATATATAAACAGTTGTATTCTAATTCACTCAGCCACAATAAGGCCACTGAAAATGAAAAATATGAGTTTTGAAATGTTCTTATTTGCATATATAATCTCATCGTGTGACAAATGAATACTAAAGGTAAATAAACTATACAGTTACATTTATACTAAATGCCTAGGTTACTCAAAGGATACATTAACATGTTAAATGAAACATTATAAAAACAGGCATAAATATAAGGCACTCTAAATGCAAAATGAAAAAAGAAATGTCATTACCATTGAACGCTTTAAAGAACCACAAGAAAGTGACGTCTTTGTACCTTGCCCTATTGTGTGGAGCGGTGATTGCGGCTGTGTGACCCCTCTACCTCTAATTACAGACTGTAGGAGAGCTTGGAAAAAAATGCACCAGTGATGCTGTGACTGGCACCTGACATTCCCACTCCCACACCTCAGTTGCGGGGGGAACAACAATGTCATGAGTGAATGACATATCCACATAAAACCCTATCTAAAAACACACATATTTATTGCACAAGAAAAGATGCACTGAATCAGAATACAATTTTGTCCTACTGATGTGCATTCCAGTGAAAAATCTCATTTCATTTCCCCCATAGCACACGACTCTCAATTTGGAAGCTTTCATAGATGATCCATATTTCATATACTTTTTACTCATAAATTATGTACTTTATCAATATATAGAGAATGTTATATTTATGCTTTAATATATATTTCACATATATTTGACAATCTGTACCATATATCTATATATTCATATATCTTATCCAATTCATCAGGTTCTCTCTTGTCATCCTTCTAACATGGAAGAACTAAGATAATCGGTAGCAGCAACTTCATACTTTGCTCATCCCTGTTGATTCCACAAAGCCCCAGTTTATCTTATGGGAGTAATTAAGGTACCATGTATGTGATCATGGACAGAAACAAAACCAAAGAGAAAAATCAAGACCCGAAAATAACTCTTGAACAAACTTACATTTTGGTAGTGTGAATTCTGTTCCGTGCACCAAGTGCAACAAAATGAGGGAAAAATAAAAACAAAATAATAAAAAAAAAAAAAAAAAACAAGCAAAGAGATCCTCTGCAAAATAGCACATACGTCAGAACAGTTCTACAGCTTTAAAAAAAAATAACATTTACGTAAATACGTTTTATCACTTTTTTTCCCAAGCGATAAATTTGTGTAAAAAAAGGAAATTCACACAGTTCAAAAAAAGCACATCAGCTGTATAATAAAGTACTAAAAAACTAAATCAATAATTTTTATTTATTTCATAGATCATTTGAGCTTTACCCTCTCCCAAAATTTAGATGATGAACATTGCGACAGGAAAGGGGTATTTATTCATTATTACTTTAAGTCTGTCCTGCTGTTGTGGACCAAGCATTGTCTTCTTTTTCGATGGGTTGTCTGTGTGTACTTGATTGTGAAACAGATTTTTTTTTCTTTACAATGTGCATCAAGTTTTTTCCCCCCGCAATTCTGTGTGCCTCCAATGCCTCTCGTAATGGTTCATAATCATTGATGCATTTCTGACGATGTCATTATTGTTCATTTACTTTTTTGTTGTGTTGGTTTCATTCAGTTTTATGAGCCCCAAAATGAATCCTTGAAGCAAAAGAAAAGGTAATTCCGTACGATGCTTCAACAGTCAGGATTCCCTCGCTTTGTTTCAAGGCGAGGTTTTATCGGGGTTGGGAAATACTTGGTCCTCCGGGAATCATCTTTTTCATTTTTTGACAAGTCATGTCACACATCCAACACTTAATGAGTTGTTAGCAAGGAGTTAAGGAGTACTTTCTCAAGCAGGAATTTATGGCTCAGAAGAGAGGCTCACTGGGTTTTCTTTCCAAAGGGCCCTCTGCTTTTTTCTTCCAATACTGGGTCTTTTACGTTGCATAGTGATCAAAGCTTCCCAGGTACTCCAAGCCAGCTCTGTAGCAGAACTGGTATTGATCCTGGAAACAAAGAAGAAAGGACTTAAGTTCACACACCCTCTCTCTAAGGGATCTTAGGATAGGAAATCCTCTGTACCATTTTTGGTACATTTTGCTTTCATCAGGACTATTGTTATAACTGGATACTAGATTTACATTACATTTGTTAGCTTCCTTTTCCATTGAACCAAAACATTTTTTTGTATTCCAAAGATGCCAAGTAAAATATTGATGAGATGAATTTACAGTGGACAGCAGAGAAGACTACCACAGAATGGTTCAGATACTGAATTAATCATTGCTTGCTGTTTCCTTTGCAAATATAGTAGGAAAAAACACCTCACCTCTGTCTGCACCATAGCTGGTCTCTGTGTCCGTAACATTTTCACTGTCTGAAAGATGTCTACTACGCCCTCGTATCTCATTCGTTCCAAGACGATGCTGAGGGTGATGAAAACTCCAGTTCTACCAACACCCGCGCTGTGTGAGAGAGGGCAGAGAGGTCAGCAGTGAGGCCAGAGAAACCAGACAAATACAGAGGAAGTCATATCAAACAATGAACCATTATGCTAATTGAGTATTTCTGTAAATATTTATCATTTGCAACATGAGAGATATTTGCGCTCAGTTTCATTTTCTACAAATTGGAAGGGATGGCTTGCTGGGTTACACTGGCTGAACACTTACCTACAGTGGACAGAGATAGGCCCATCTTGGCCGAACTGCTCTTTTGTTTTATGTACTTGGCCAATGAAATCGATAAAGCCCTCTCCTGATTTTGGCACTCCTTGTTCAGGCCAGTCTGTGAACTGAAACTGCCTTACTGTTCGTGACTGTCCATCCTGGGAACAGAAGGTGGGAAGACAGAGAGAGAATGTACAGACCCAGCTCTTCAGATGCAACAACAGTCAGAAATATGGGCAAAAATGGCAAAGAATAACTGAAGTGAAACTAGGAAGCCAATCTGCGGTGTTTCACACATAGCCAACCCATGGTAGTTCATTCCATGACCATCTCTGTCATAATAATCCACAGCTTTGTGTGTTTTACAGTGGGAGACAGCATTTTAGAAAAAATATAGCACAAACACCAAGTTTAAAGCATCAGAGAAAATGTTTTGTTATTAAAGATGCCTGTCATTTTACCTGAATGTATTAAACATGAACACTGAAGATGCTAATTCCTTTGATGTGCTACCCTCGACAGGGTGCTTGGAGAATTGACTTTGAGGGTGTGCATTACTTAAGTGATATTGTATCCCCTTGATAAGGAGAGCAATCCCATTGACGAGACAGTGTAACATGCACTACAAAGGAGGGAGCCTGCGCAATTTATCTGCGTAAGCCTTTGATGGAATTAAAAATTCTGGCAGCTCGCTGCTGCCGGCACCACATTTGTTTTTACACTTTGACATGTGTCATCATTCCCACAAATATATGCTTATGTTACACTTAAGGCCATAGTTTGGTATAAACAAATACTTGATACAATGCCAAAAATTTGAGCAAATGACTAGTGCAATGTTAAAGCTGGTGCTCATGAGCGTTCACCATCCAGCATGTTCAATCATTAAGATCTTCATTCCTAGTAAATAAAATCATGTGATTAAGAAATTGCATAATGGGATTTCAGAAATTATAATAGTCAGTTGTGTGTGTGTGTGTGTGTTTTTTTTCTAAATTCTTTACAACAGTGACCCACAGTTAAAGTACAGATGCATTCAGTGTCTTCAATGACCCATGGTTAGCTCATCATCCAGACTCTGAAAAACAATTAACCTGACCAAACTCTAAACAGTAACAATGAATTTAGACCTATGGTTTGATCTTTAAACTTTGTTCTGTGTAACAGTGTCTGCTTACCCTGGCATCAGTCACTTTGAACTCTCTCAGTATATACTGGGGCATGTTATACTCGGCCATGGGGTCCACCACAAAGTACTGGTATCTGGCCGACCTCTCTGCTGGCCAGTACTGGTGGCATTTTTCCTGTAGGGAGCGAAAATAGAATACCACAGTAAGCCACAGCATTCTCCTCATACACTAGCTTCATTGTGTTCATTCCCAGAATTTTTTCAAATCATACTGTTGGAAAGCATTTGTTCTCACGGCTGTATCTATGTATGGTATTTCTTATAAGCGGTGTTGTAACATGCGCTTTTGTGTTCTGTGGCTGGAATATGGAGATTAATGTGCCAAAAAAATGGGAAGAAAATCAGCATATGCATACCCTGCCCATTTCTCTAAGCTTGGTGAGCATAACGACAATAGTAGAGTTGTGCTCCCAGAGCATTCTCCAGAAGTCCTCTGTGGTCTCTGCCAGTGGTCCCTGTGTGGCAATATAGGCTTTCTGTTGCCTGTGGAAATGCATTAATCACAGGATGGAAAAGGTGTGAGTTAATCAGTCAAAAAATAATGCATTAAAGCTTTCACTGTGAATGGTCTGAAGATGCTTAAAGAGCCTAATTTGTGATGACTGGCTAATACCTGGCAATGGGTCTTGTCTTATAGAACACCCATTCTTGAGAATTGGGACAAATCATGCCCTACCAAAAAAAATACCCTTAAAAGATAACTTATCAACACACTAATTCTGTTTCCAGGATAAAAATATTATTTCTAAAGGATTTATCGATATGAAGTAAATATGATTTATAAAATATTTTGATCTGCTTTCATTTTTTTAAACTTCCAAACTTCCCAGAAAACATCCTTGTCCCAAACAAGAATTCACAACTTCAAAAATGTGTCACAAGCCTTCAAAATATAAAACTAACAGTACGTACTGATAATATTGGTGTAAAAATGTACTGCGACAATCATCTTTCTTTTACAATGTATTTTTTGTGAAAATGTTGTCCCTTTAAAGATGTTTCCCAGATTTTCGTCAGCTCTGTCAGATTTCTACAAAAACATAATTTGACCAGGCATAAAAGGGTCTAAGGACTCCTTTCTTACTTCTTGGTTTCTGGGAAGGCAGGAATGCTGTTCAAGTGCTTGTGAGCTTTGTATTTTTTGATAATTAATTAATTTCAAAACATTGCTATCAGGTGTGTCTCAACCATATCAGCTCAACTCTGTAGCCCTTCTAATTCAAAACTAAATAAGAATCATGGTTACGAAAATAAGTAATTTGATTAGCACTGAGAACTTTTAGCACCTTTGAAAAATAAAATGGCTATTCACTACAGCCTTTGTGAAATTAATAAATCTATAACTTTGTCAACTCTGTAAGTTGTCAACTCTGTCAGATCTTACCTCTAACATCTATCATGTATGCTATTCAAGAAAACTGAAATCACTGGGAGGTTGAACCATTACAAGGTTTAATACTCAATACTTTGATCTTCTAAAATGTATTCCCATAGCCCAATTGAGGAGTAAAATAAAAAGGTTTTGTCCCACTTCTCAAGAATGAGTGATAAATTTGCTGGCTCTTAGATTTCAAAAATGTAGTTGCTTCTATGAAATGCTAAACCATTTTCGTGTCCAATGAATTTATATACTGGTCATCTGATCGGCAATAGATGTCAGAGCACATTGGCACTTACCTGTACCCATCAATGAAACTGGCATTGATGTAGTCAGAGCCCTCAACTCCTCGAATGGGCTGAAGACACACTCGTGTGGACTCGTATGGCATTATGTTAACAAGGCGATTCTTGAACTTGTTGCAGGGGAGATTGGCACTGATGAATCGTGATGTATGGGCTTTAGTGTTAGCTAAACGCTGCATCGAGACAGAGAAAAAGAAATATCTTTGAGCCTTGACATTCTGGTGTTTCTTAATTTCCCTGGTGACTGACTGTGTTTGACATTAAAGGTGGATTGTACATAATAAAGATCTGAGTGCTATGAACAATCGCACACCTTTGGATTCTTGCCAACTCTCATGAGAGAAGGGAAGAATACAAAATAATCTGCTGCACATAGTGGGTGATGAAATCTACACTATAATGGCTGAGAGAGTACCGTGGTTATATACTATTTTGCGTAACCATGAAGTACGGAAACAACATCAGAGTGATTACTATCACAGCTTGCCTTTGCAGGGAAAAAAATAGCATGTTATGATGAAAAGACAGGGGGAATGGATACCCGAGCGAGCCTGGAGTGGACAGAAGTGCAGTGTAATCTAACCTGTTTATCATCTCTTAGTGAAATCAACATCCATCACAGAGCAAGGAAGTAGATGCGTGACAAGCAAGGCAATGCCATGCGTACAGCATCGCCACAGACTGAAAAGGGCTGGATAAGGATCGTTGACTCATTGTAAATGCAGAGAATATTGCATATAGTCCCTCACTCAGCTGTTCTGTGGTGGGAAAACATGAGTTTGGCGTTTTCATGTAAACCAAGACCCCTGTTAACCAAGGAAGGGGAGCTATGGGAAGGGGAAACCAGAGAAGGAGAATTTATCCAATGCTGGGTTGCACAAGGGAGTCGACTAACTGGAATAAAGAGGAAACCACAGGCCCCATACTGTCTAGTGGGCCTAATGGGAACTGGAAAAGAGTTGGAGAGTTGTACCAAGAGTGGCCAATCAATGACACAGGGGCTTGCATGTGACTAGGAATAAGGGCGCCAATGGGATGCCTGTAAATTCTTGCCACATATGGCAAGTTGTTGGTGTAAAACTTGAGGTCAGGTGAGATGTGCTCAAGAAATCTAAAGCTAAGACACTGCTCATTAATAGTAATCTCTGACCCCAAAAATGACCCCAATGCTTTTGGCTCAGTAAACTCTTTGTACCTTGAACTCAAGTTCCATGCCGGTGACATTCTCTCCACCTTCTATTTGCGTCAGTTTCTGGATGTAGGCGTATAGGTTTCTGGCGGGCACTTCGGTGGTGCCGCAGTTGACGGCCTCTTGCAGCGCGTCATGTATGAAGACATACTGGTCCTCTGTCTGCACCATGTAGTTGCGCTGGGCACGCATTAGTGTTACGTGCCCATAGATGTCCACAGTCTTCTCGTGCTTGATACGCTCCATCATGGCATCAATCACGATGAAGCAACCTGTGCGTCCCACCCCAGCACTGTAGAAGACAATGAAGAAAGAATGTTAATGGATAGTAGTCTCAGTTGCAGCTATATAAGAAAAGTAAGGTTGAATACATACATTATGGAAAAATTATGTGAATGTCTCTGATGTGACATGTTTGAGGTTCTAGATCATAACTTCTACAAATTAGGGGCAGTCTTTTCTCAACATTTACAAGTGTTTGAAGAACTCCCTTTCTCCCAGCGATGAGGCCAAAAGGTAAACTCTCCGCGCCAAGTTTGCCACTGTAGGATGGACCATTTGGCTTGGAGTGTAATTAAATCTGAAGTGGCACTGTGTGGAGAAGAGGGCTTGGCAGTCACAGCCTTCAGCGGGCTCACTGCTGGCTTTGCAATCTAGTCTCTCCCCTCTGGACCCCACCTGTGCTCTCCAATCCATCAGGACTAATCACTTATGCAACGGCAACATTTAACCTTTATCTCATGGTTCCGAAAAGTGCCACTACAACAAATGCACAGAGAAATATGGATACACAGACGCAATTTTGAGGGTATGATTTTTTGAGGGCTTCGCTAATGTGCCGGGCAACTTCTGAGAAGTGCAGCTGACTTCAATTAATGCCATTAGATTAGCACAGTGCACCCAAATAATGTAAGAGCTTTACAAGAGTCACTGAAAGGCAGGTCTCTTCATTAAGATTCACATCGTTACATTAGTGTGTAAAAATGCATGAGTGAAAAAAGCACTCTGACAGAGGGGAAATGTTTTACGGTTTGTCTTTGACCTCTTCTCACAGACCAGCTTGAGACATACTGTACAAATGTAGCCCCCTTCTGCAGACTGCTGACAAATTTAAAACACTCACCCCTGCACATTACATGTTTTAATAGCGCATGCCTCAGCACAGAGGATGTTTTCTGATGACAATTTATTTACCATGGGGCGACATGGTGGTGTTAAATCTTGTTCGTTAACTCTCCTCCCACCTCCTGCAAAGCATGGCATTGACAAGACAGCACCTTGCACTTGGCACTCCAAAGTAAATAGGTTATTCAATCCATTAAGCTGACATGCCTGCGAGGTGTGAGCCATGCTCTCGTGCCTCCTCCTTCTGATGGAGCATTTGTTTTTCATTTGCTCTGAGGAGCGGGGAAAGGTTTGAGAAGGAAAACTCAAGAGGGAGTGAAGTTAGTCCCCGGGGGACAAGTCTGGTTAATGTGCCATGCTGCACTGGAACTGTGCTGCGAATGGAATAAAGACACGTATGGGAGTCATTGGCTTTAAGAAATGATCTGATGATCACTTTCAAAATGGCTGACATTGGCTGAATGAACTTTTTTCCCCCCTTTTTTAATTTTTTTTTTTTTTTTAAATAAAACTCTCCACAGCTCTAGGGCGATTACAAAATGTGCATGCAAGTCAAAGGAAGAATCAGGCTGCAAAGAAATGCGAAAGTGTCTCAGGGATATTTGAAGAATGAATCACTTCCAGGTCTGAGAACACCTCAGTCCTTGGGCGAGGGATGCAGAAACTAGAGGAGATTTCTCCCTGTACCCCAGCTGTTCCCAATCTGAAAACATTTTACAGTGCAGACCTGAATGTGGGAGAGTGATGACCTGTGAGAGAGTAAGTGACAGAGTGACAGCACTGAGCTGGAGAGACGGAGACAGGGGAAGATGAGGAATGGGGGAGGGAGGTGCGGAGACAGAAGGTGGAGTTGTGTTATGCAGGGAGAGATGCTGCCAGTTATCTTAAAGTTGTGTAGTTAGTTTTCTAAAAGACTGCGCAGCAGGAATATATATTAAGCACATTTTTTTCCTAAATGTAAGACCAGGAAATGCTTGGAACATATGCAATATTCCTTTATCGACAAGTGTGTGTGTGTGTGTGTGTGCGTGGTGGGGTGAGGTGGTGCAGAAAGCCGTCGGTACATTTGGCAGTTGAAGGGGAGCTGGCGGACTGACTGCACTAATGACCTGACACTGCCTTTTCAGCCAGTCAAGACCAGCTGCTTTGGACGTCGACACACATTAAGTGTCAGACTAATATGCTTTCCAGGAGTTTAGGGAATAGGGGATGGGAGAGAGTGCGCAGTTTAAAATACAGCTGCAATGAGTCCCGAGAAGATAAAGCATGAGCAGCAGTGAAAGCAATTACATATGTATTGTTACCAAATCTCTTGCCGTCAGCTAACCTGTCACCATTTCCCCACACTGCCTATTGAACACGCACACATGAACTCAGACTCACCAGGATCACCTCATTGCAGTTAATGGAGTCAATAATAATTTCAGTCCTTGAATACTTTTCAAAATGTGGAAAGTAAATCAAAAAGGTCATTCAGTTTCAACTTGGGGATATGGAATTTTGTTCTGTCAGACAGGCTTTGCCCACTAACTGATTCTTGTCCGTTGTGACAGGCCAACATCAGTAGGACTGTTTCCCTTGCATGAAACAATGCCATGATGACAGCGAGGTGGAGTTTTGCAATAGTACTCTTGAGTTGTCCCTTTCCTTCCCTGTATTAGAATCACTAAAAACAGGTAAATACACAGCTTCTGTTATAGTTAACGCTTTAGTTGTTTGCCTGTGCCATTTGTAACCGTCACAGTTTAGCTAGGTAGACTACATTCTGCATTATGTGCTGGCTGCCACAGTAATACAGAGAAAGGAAAGAAGACAGGATGAAAATGCAGCCAGGTTGTCAGTTCAATGTTCAGTTTAAATCTGAGGGTTGTTCTATCAAAAGTTTCCATTCTGAGTCACTGGTTGAGGCCAGTGCTCTCCATGACATTCAATCATGACCTTTTGACCTCCTCCGTCACCTCACAACGCATGGGTAGCCCTTTAGCTAGAACAGCAAAACGGTCCCTGACCTGTGGGTTAGTGAAAACAGCAGGAACTCTGAAAGCAGGATATATGCTATAATGTCCCTGGAAGGCAGATTTCACAAGACATACTGTGTTTTCACCTTATGTTGGCGAAAAGCAGTGGAAACACTTGAGTGCACTTTGCTCATTATTGTTAGAAATGCCTGTGGTGGAACCATGCAGGAAACCTGTAAATGCTGTAGAATGTTAAGGGGACCTTTTGTGCTTTTCCCTTTTTTTTGTATAAATAATGTTACAATGTCAGAACATGGCCAAAGTATCAAATGGTGAGGTAAACGTAAATGAAAGTAACCCCTGTGATTTCTCTGTTTCCAATATTTCTGTAAGGCATGCTACTGCATGTGTTTACATTATGTAGCATACACTGCTACATGTAGCTACATGCTAACGTCAGGGAAACATAATCTTGGTTGCTGATGTTGTCAATTTCTTCCCCATTTTGGATCACATTACTGCTGGAAATGTTGAATGTAAGGATTTTGGTTTAGATGCCTTTATTAGTGATTTTTCACAATAGCCAGTTAGCTACCCTCTGTTGCTGCATCCGATTCAGGAGTTCTCAGTTCATTAAATGGCCATTATCTGGTTTTTAGCCCCGTAGATATCAATTAGAGGGTGCCTGCAATATTACTATTAGGTTCAAAGGCCATTATCAGCTAATTGAATGTCCATTTCATATCGAACGTTGTGAAACAGTTGTTTTTATCATGGCATCCAACTTTGTGAAATGGTCGCAATTTGTTAGGTTTTACTTTCATTAAGTGTAGCAGGGAAAACTACATGGTTAGGTTTAGGAAGATAAACCATGGTCTGCTAGAACATCCATCTCTGGTTGAAACAAGTCGATGCTGATTTTTGGTTTCAGGTGGGACACAAACCCCACTCTCCTGGGCGAAAGTTTAAGTTTAAGTTAAGTTTATTTACTTTATTAATCCTCTGAGGGGAAATTCAGTGTTTTCACTCTTGCTTGTCAATTACACACAGGTCTGAAAGACACACACATGCACAAACAGGACCTATACATGCACAAAGTGGAGAGATGTCAGAGTGAGTCCTGTGTTTCTTAAACCCATCTATCACCCCTCCCTCCCGCACGTTTTACACAGACTGCATGCTCTTTATACTAAGTCACCTGACTTCCTCCTTCCCTTTCGTCATAATTATTATGGCCACAAGATGTCACCACCTATTAGTAAACGTAAATGACCATTTAATGGTCTGATAATGGCCTCCTGAGCCTAATAGTAGGTGTGGCAGGCCCCCTCTAACAAATATCCTTGATGCTTATAACCACAAACGACGCAGACATTTTATTGCCTGATGACAGTCGAAGTGGCTGACAGTCATTCTCCCATTCTCCCACTTGCAATGACGGTGCAGAGATGCCAAGAGTGCAGATACAGAAGAAACATTAAATCATGTAAACATGTTCCAGTAGAAACCTAAAATACAAGCATGAACCTGAAAATGAGCATAATCGCTCCCCTAAAGACGTTGTGTGTAAAAATGTGTGTAAAAATCTTGTCGAGTCTTGTGGTGTCTATGTGGAGGAATACAGATACTGTAAAATGACTGGGTGGTTATATCTCAGGATCAGTGTGTCCTTAAGTAGTCAGGAGATAATGACAATTATGATAAATGGGCATTTTGCTAATTAGTAATTTACAGAGAATGGAAGCAGCGTGCAGTTTCTTTTAAACAGTTCTAACTTCATACGCCACCAGTGAGAAAAACAAATCCAGAGCCCCTGATTGTTTATTTTTTATGTCTTTATGGTCTTTGCATCAGGGCCCCTCAGCATGTATGTACATAGTAAGCTGCAATTTTTGGTGCACCAACTAATTAATCAACTGCTTAAGAGACTGTACGATGTTGTTAATTATAGGGAACAAAGTCTTTTCTTTTTCTTTCAGCTCTTATTTAGTGCTTTTTGCATGCGCATAAACAGTTTTGGTTTATACACTGCAAAATATATTTATCTGCATTATATCTCTGCTTAACAACAAAACACTCCTAATTTGCAAGTATGTAGATAGAAGAGATGGCTCTGTTCAAAATTGTGGTCAAACATGAAGTGAAGAAATGCCTCTGAAAGGATTTGGAGCTTGGAAAGGACTGCATCTGATAGAGAGCCAGAGGAATTAAAAACTCCCATCTGCAGAGTGACATTAATTCCTGCATTCTGCTTCATTGTAAAAAGTCAGAATTTTCAATTTGAAGCGATTCGGCAACTAGGTCTAATTAACTTCAGCATGTGGTCATTCTAATTCTTCAGTAATCCCCCTTGCCTTTTTGTCACTTTCTGACACAAGTTTGTATCTATTACACTCACTATGGCTGTTTCTTCATTTTTACTGTCTCTTTTCCCCCTTCCGTCACTTGCTTTCTCTGTGCAGAGCCTCTGATGACTTCCTGAGTTGAGAGGAAGAAGTCTGTGTTATATTCCTGTGCCTCTCTGTTGGGAGCCTGGCCGCTTATGTAGCTGAGGGAAGTGAAGTTGGCGTGAAAGTGAAAGTTATTTGTTTCAGATGCAATAACCCAGGGGATAAGCCGAGGACTTGTGGGCTGCTGATGTGCGACATGTTAGTGGTGTAGCAAGGAATGCGACAGGTCTGCGTGTGCTCGTGTGTCAGTGAGTGGGAGGAGATGTTTGAGTTTGCTGAGGGCAATGACACTAGTACTCTTTGTGCTGTGATGTTGAAAACACCTTCAGATTTAAAGTGCCTCCTGTGAAAGCTAGTAGGCTGATTTGTTTGGGCTTACGGTGGGCCGCAGTTTACTCCCTGTCAAATATTCGACTTTTAGCAAACATTTTCCGTCTGATTCATGTCTGCTGTCTTTTAAAAATCTCTATCAGTACGCAGAATGATTCAGATATGAAGCTCTAAATAACCATGAATCTATTGTATGCGGTCATATGTATTCATATATTCATTACAGCAAATGGAGAGACCAAAATCGATTTCATGCTTCGGAATGTTTTTGTGAAACCATGTTGTTTCTTACCTGCAGTGTACCACCATGGGCCCTGCATCTGGAGGATTGCAAGCTTTCACCCGTCTCAGGAAGGCCAGGAACGGAGTGGGGTGCTCCGGTACCCCGTGGTCTGGCCAGGCCGTGAACTGAAACTGCCTCACCTCTCTCTTCTCACTGGAGCCATTCTGCATTTTGGAGGTGGAGGAAGGTTAGTGAGTAACACAGCTCACACCAAGTACTTGACAGATGCTGCGGGATCAAGGACAACAAAATCTAAGTGTTCCTTACTTTAAAAAGTGCAAATGTCCTGACACAGTATGTGGCCAGCTCTACTGTGTCTAGTAGTGTCACTTGGATGAGGCCGTATGTCTCTGTCCCTCTTGTAGGCCAATATTGGTCACATTTCACCTGCAGTGGAGAGAAACATCACATTAAACAAGGTCTGGGTAGGAGTATATGAACACTGTCTGCCCTGTAGCTATAACAGATTAGTCTTGACGCATTTCTGTAATTTTTAAATACCATCATCCATTTGGGGCATATTTACTGAGTACGAATGCTCATTTTCAACAGTGCCCTGCTTCACATTCACACGAGTCAAATAATGGTTAAATGAATGTCCAAATTCCGCTCATTCCTGCTGACTAGGTTTGATTTCATAATCAATTAAATGGCCTGAGATATTTGTATAGAGCCGACGGAGCTATTAATTGTCCTGACATACTCTATAATTACAAAGGTAACCACAGTTTCCAATCATATCAGCGGCTCAGCTTTATTGCCATTCGAGTGTACAGCTTTGTATCCCAGTTAACGGCCAATAAAAAACTGTTCCATTATAGTGTTACTGCTTAGCTGACAAAGGGAAGCACATGCTGGTGTTGGGGAGGAAATAACTGGGTTCCAATTCACTTGTTTTTCTTCTTATTGTCCAATAGACCTGATGTAGTTTTAGCAGTATGTTGAACACAATCGAAATGTCATTATGCTCAACAAATGGTGACCTGGTGGTCTATGGCTGTTAAAATATACGACAACTGGACACCAGTTGTGCCACTGGAATAGTCAAATATCTTAAAATGTTTACTATCCACCCATTTCCTAAGCAGCTGTTATAAGATTGACACCAGCAGCAATGAAGCTATTGTGACACCAGGAGAAATGAATTGATTCATAATAGCATTTACTTGCAAATACTCAAGCTTTAGATATGCAGAACATACATACAAAGACAGCTTGAGTGCTTCCCAGCGAATGATACGACTGATTAATATGAAAGACAGGAGCTGTTGGCAGCAACAAAAGCACATTATGCACTACAAATGTCAAACAACATAATAGTATGGAAGCGTCAGGGTGGGGGTTGTCTCGCAGGAATCCTTTACGGCAGAGCCAAGAAGCACTCTTATATCACAAAGCATCTGTAGAGTGAAACGGACACCTGACAGCATGGAACGCATTTAATTGAGGAATTATGCATTTTACAGTGCCTGTAATGTTGAATATCAGCCAAAGGAGCGTATTTGCTTTGCAGATTGTACAGATACTGCTGTGTGGATTGAGTCAGCGCCCCTGTTAACACTACGCCAGGCTCTTAGAAAAGGCATACAAGTGTGAAGGTCAGTAGCTTATGGAGCCTGTGCGAGCTTTATGTGCTCAGTCAAACACTGTAAGATGTGCAAGACAGAGAGACAAAGTGCCTTTTGACCATGTCAGTCTTAGAGGAGGAGTGAGCTCTGTGATGTGGCTTTTTAGGCTGAGCCTTTTAATCACTGATTGTAATCCAGTGCCTTCAGCAGTGCTGGGCTAATGAAGGGAGCCATGCCACTAATCAGTCAGGACTAAACAACAACAGAAAGTGTTGTTGTAAAGAAAGGATTGAGGATATTGGTGGATAACAGGATGGAACTTGGCTTTGCCTGGAGAATTAATACGACAGCATCTAGGGAGGGCCAGAGAACAACACACTGTACAAATTACACAGGAGAAAAAGGACTTCAAAATGACTGTGTCACTGAAAGAGGGTGATCTGAGTTGGAAGGATCTATTGTGCAAATTTTGATGTCAAAACCAGACCAGAAAAATGATGTAATTGGCTTTGAAATTGCATTTATTTTTGTTTTAGTCAATAACTTGCTTGACTTTGCTCTGACTGTTAAATCATTGGTTATATTTATGAGCATTCCAAAGCTTAAAATAAAACACACTTGCTCCTTTCATTTCATTTGAATACGACTTGGAGAGATGGAGAGCGCTGCAGTGAAATATGGCAGCATCTGTATTTGTGTCTCTTACCCTGGACCTCTCCTCCAGTTTTGTCATCATGACGATGATTGCACTCCTCTGCTCCCAGATCATCCTCCAGAATTCACCAAACGTCTCTGGCAGAGATCCTTGGGTGGCAATGTAGGCATTCTGCTTCCTGTAGCCATCGATGTAGTTGGCATTGATATAATCACTTCCAGGGATACCTAGAGGAAAGAAAAAAGACGAGGTGTGAGCTATGATTGATTCATAAGAGTACAGGGGTATTTAGATGGTGGGTGTTAGAAACAATTGAACTTTGTTTGCAGAAAAGACAACAGATGTCACAAAGTAGTATTTGCTGCCTCCTAATGTGGTCCAAGTCTTGATTTTCCCTGCAGTTATTTGAGGTAACGTCAGATTCTCCGGCAGATGAAACCACATCAGGCTAGCCTCTGTTTCCTAAAATGAAGTCAGTTAAGCCAGTGTTTCTGTATTAAATTTAAAAATAGCATAAAACAGTGACATTTGGAACCAGTGTTACAGTCCATGAGGATTTGTATTTGCTATCAACAACACTTTTAAATCCGCAGCTTTTGTGTCCTTCTTCCATATCTGCAACTGACTTGCAGATAAAGCCTGGTCTGTAAAAGTCTATCACCTCACATGGAGAAAAACAAACCAACAAAAAACTAGCAAAACAATTTCCCCCCCTCCTCCCCTCCTCACTCCTCCTTCCCTTTTGCTTATATTAAATGAAAGGCACAGCAGCCTTTTCGAATCCAGGCGAAAGAGACAGAGCTGACAGCTAGTCAATGCTTCAGGACTGGCAGTTTAGGGGCTTCGTGCACACATGGTCGACCAAGATAAGTCTCATCTGCATGGACGCCACGTATCAGAGGATCCCCTCACTTCAACTGCTCCCCCTCCCCCTCTCTCCCCCAGACTCCCTTTTACTCCCAGGTAACTTATTCAACAGAAAAAGGAAAGAAAATGGAATATGAACACATTCAAAGACCAGCCCACATATTTTTTTTTTCCAACTGTCCCCCGCCCTCTCTTTTGCTGTTGAAGTTGTCCACATAGCCAGATGGCTGTACATTTCTGTGATGGACAAGGGATAAATGCAATTAAGCCCAGTGCGTTTTCAAATTGAAAAGAAAAAGCAAGAAGAGACATTACTGTGGTTTAATGAGAATGCGGCAAGTTGTTTAATGCACATTTGCAAATGGATTTTGCCTTTGTGCTTTCTGTCACTCAGGATTTGTATAAATTCTACCATTTTCTCTGTCAATATGCTTATTGAGAAATAAACATTGCTCCAGTGTTGTTCAGCACTCAGTAGCCCTCGTAGGAAAGCAAAGGAATCTCAAGGGAAAGAGAGAGATTTTAGCCTACAAAATTGTAATGGTGATAAAGATGATTCTGAGTCGTGGGAATATATACATGTTTAGACATTGTGGATTTGTGAGTAGATGACCACACACACAAATTCTGACACTCTTACCATACAGTAGATTAATGAAGATGTCACATTACATGTTGATTACATTTTATTCACAAATGGCCTCTTTGTAGAATAACAGCAGGCTTGTGACAGCTCCCACAATAAATATAGATCAATGGAAAAAAGATTGAGCTCTTGCTTAACTTTAATGTTCTAAAAAGAACATCGAATTGATGGAAATTGGAGGTAACATGGGATTTACAGGGATCATGCTAAGAAAAACTGATACATACTTATTGAAATTAGAAACTGTACAGTTTTGGCAAATGAAGGGTGGACAAAGTTTTTGGGGGATTAACTATGAATTCCAGTTAATCCTGCTAAGCGCATGTTTTGTACGGTCAGGCATCTTGGCAAGAGGTGCCTCGTCAGTTGTTGAAAGTACAGCGAATTCAGCGATGTCACGACAGTTAAAGTCCACAAATGTACTCAAGCATCTGAGCGCCTGTATTCTGAAGATTCTGCTGATCCATCCCCACATCAATAAATTCTGAAAGTAGCCGTCTTCAAATTCTGATGTCAAATCCCAAATCCCTTTTTATTCAAAGAACTCAATCAAAGTAAACAATAGACGCATTGCTTGCCAAAAGGCTTTAAGCTTTAGAAGGAAAAGAGGAAGTCCCTCATGTCCCCCTGGCTGAGAACTACTCGCTTGCTACAGCACAAAGGCTCCAATGTGGTTGTGCAGATGTGTTTATACACCCGGCTAATGGAGTTCCATCAACACTCAAGCTGTGTGTTGTTTCTAAGAGACTGCAAAAAGGGCTCTTTGAGTCTTTATCTATCTGTTTTTGTCACAATAGCCATTTACGTCTTTGTTTATTTTCCTTTGCCCTCCGTGGGAGCAGCTCAATGGAAATGGTTAATTAATAGCTGTGTGCGTATGTGCAATTGTGTTTAATCCAATAAACTGGTGAAGGAGCCAGCACTTAACTAGCCATTTCAAAATGGCCTTTCATTCCTTAGAAGCTGTGCTGTACAGTGCAGCACTTTTTAAATGTGCCAGAGACTTACTGGACTGGTTCAAGTTAGGTTTGTGATGGGCTCAAGTGAAATAATGCACTCACATCTTGAGTGAATCCTGTCCATGTAATGTTACAAGCGATGCTTCATTGATTGTGTCACTCTGGCTAATGTATTCTTAGCACTTCATTTGTCTTGTGTCTAGCTGTGAGTTTTGTTTGTCAGTTTCAACCCATAACAAATGGGCAAATGCGTATTTTTGTGTTATTTGAATAGGCACATACCCACAATTAAGCAATGTAATGTATATTTCAAATAATAATGTACTCTGCTGTCTAATTATCTTCCGATATACTTACTGTTCTTGTTTCAAGGTATAAATTATGGTCAAGGAACATGCCATGGCTTCACATAAAGCAAGTGGGAGGCATTATGAAAACATTACCTCACATCAAGTTAGAGAAACTTAAATCTCTCACTAAAGGTGCTTGTTTAATCTGATCTGAATCCTTTCCTCAGTATTTTTAAGGAAAGTTGCCAGTTTCTAAAGCCACCTCTTTCTCTGCACCTGAGGCATGAAAGTGAATAAGTAGCCTGACGTGCTTGTGTAGGAATATAATTTAAAAGTGCAGCGTGGTTGCGCTCCTGAGGTCTCAAAGATACAGTTGTACTGGCCTTCTGTGGAATCGATACAGCAGTTAGGAGGGAAGATGTTGGTGGGCGGCATACCGTCAATAGCAGAGAGCAAGACTCTGGAGTGGTCGTAGGCAATCACGTTGGCATATCTGTTCTTTGGTTTGTTGACCTCCAGGTTGGAGTGCTCCCATGTGAACTGCTGGCCAGGGTCGATGGACTGTGAAGAAGAAAATTTGTCATTACAATGGAATATTATTAAATGTTCATATGAAATAGTATATAACAGTGTAGCGCTAAGATTGTATCGCTAAGATTGCATTTAACTGTATGGCTATTGCCCATGAGGTGTTTGTAAAAGATCAATATCAGAAATCTTACTGAAATATCACCACAGAGCAACTGAAAACGAAGATGCTATGTTGTATTGCTTACATCTCTTTAAGAGTGTACTTGCAACTCAAGGCCACACCTAGCCTTGTATGTCTTCACAGGTTTACCAGTCCCTTGTTTTTCCAAGGCTAAGAGGAAAGCAGTTTATAAAAGTGAAAGCTGATGATTTCAGTCTTTTGCCTCTGATGTTTCCTTTTTGTCCCACAGTCTTTTTTTTCTACACCGACGACACGTGTGGCTGAAAATATTCATTTGTATTAATGCTATGCATAGCATTGATTTCTTGTGTTGCTGTTAGACGTGTGCACAACAATGATGCAGAAAGGTTGTAAAATATTGATAAAGTGCTGCTTCATCTCTGGCCCTTCGGCATGAAGGAGTTTGTCTGGCATGAATACTGTTTCCCCTCAAGGTCAAATAATATTTAAGACTGGCCATTTTAAGCTCATGATTCCGTCCAAGTTCAGAGGACTAACACACACTGCATTAACAAGGGCAGGAAAAGCATGAACAAGCAAGAATTCCTAGCCATGCCGGTGAAAAGCTGAAAAAGTTGTGACCATGATATAAAGGTACTTAAGGTTACTGAGTCCAAAGGAAATGATTGTTCTCTGACTGAAAGCTGATTTAGTCCATGAATAGTCCAACCCAGACTTTTATTCTTCTCAGTTAATTTAAGTAGAGTCTATTCTGGCCAAAGAAAATGGGGTGTCAACAGACACTGGAATCTAAGTTGACACTTTAAGTCTGCAAAGCTTAAATTAAAAGTGGAGGAGAGCATTTTGTGGATGGAAGTTTGGATTAAAAAGTGGATAGCTGTCTATTATGAACAATGTGAAGTACACGTTGTCTTTGGCGTGAAATAACCACGACATATAAATGATTAGATTTAAGAAAAGATACATTCTGAATCTGTCACAAAGGAAAAGCTTGTGTTCCGCTGGCTTTCCTCATTTGATTAGTAGAACTTTACGGCACATGCTAGAATACCACACCTGAGACTAGTTCAGCAGAATTTGCTATCCAAGCCCTCTTTCAGCTTTGTAAAGCAGAGATTGATAAGGCTCCCTCATCACCAATAAATGAACTATAAAATATAATATCACAAAGGGAAAATACAAAGACATGAAAGATGGCATTCCATTTCACATTACAGGGGAAATATTGTGCTTGTGTTTTTAATGACCGCAGACTGCTTTTATGACTCCATCTCCACTGAAAGTAGAAACCCAAGAGCAACAGAACACGCAACAACCACCAGTCACATTAGTGCACTGACCTTGCTTGTAATCTAGAGACAGATCTGAATGTGATCACACTTTTATGACTTCTTTTGGGTAATTTATGGGAGCAATAAATGCATAAAGATAAGCTCAATTATTCATTTTTAATGATGGCAAACTTTATAATACCACTATGACCATGGAAGCAGATACATTAAGAGGTATTTAAAAGCACATGAGCTCAATGTGAATACAATAATACATTTTAGCACTGAGTTCTTTATCTGCACAAATCACTTAAAGCAGCAATATGCGGGGGACAAAACCACTGGCTAAGCCTGATATTTTATCAAAATATGTTGAAACAGTGGGCTGCAACATTGCTCATAATAAAAATCTTTATTTCATTGTGCTTGCAAAATTGCTTTCCACTGCTCTCGAATAAGCACTATGAAATTGGAATTCAGTGTACTTAAGCTGCAGTAATGATTGGGCAGCTTGGCAGCCACCCATGTGGTGACCTCATAGATTCTGGAGCCATTGCAGGACCCGCAGAGAGAAATGGGCAGAGAAAGGGTGACCATTCCTATCTCGCACAATGCCCCTGAACAGACCTCTTGCTCGCATAGTTTTTCTGACTCCGTGAGTATTCGGCAAACGGTAGTTCATCTACAGTGCAAAGCCCAAATATAAGAATAACTTACATTGTCTTACTCAAGCTCATGGGGTTTGAGGGGACCGTTCATTTGGAGGTCTAATCAGACGACCCAAAAATATCACCATTGTTCCACGATGCATTTTTATTCTGATAGTGGCCTTTAAAATCTCCATTATCTAGTAGTACATTTGTCACTCCCATTGGCATAGCAGTAAAACATTAGTTTTCTCAAGGATATAGAATACTGAATATCCTTCTATATATGTATTTGCAGTATGTTTACTCCATCTGACACATTCGTATTGTGGGGTGCAGTGCTGCCTTTGATTTTTAGTCCTATTAATTTAATTGGTTGCTTATAATATTGCACAGGGTGATAAAAAATATGAAGTTAGACAGCATTGGGATTGTTATCCAGATTGGATGCAACTTCATACATGTGCTATTTTTAGCGTGATAACATGCTGATATCCAATACAGTGCCTGATGTCACCTTTAAATAGTAAAAATGATGTCATTTAAATGTGCTTTCTCAGTGCAGATATCTCTGTTTTGATATCTTGTGGCTGTCACACTGTTGTTTTTCATGGTTTAGTTATATAGGCCTCTTCTTCCACATTTTTGACTTGCTTTAAAACAGAAAGCATAGGTGTTATTTATAACATTAATGGTGGCCTTTTTCATCCAGGTTTCTCAGTAAATCATTAGTGAGCCAGCAGGGCCCTGGAACTGGAAATGGAGTGCAGCCATTATTAATGTTAATAATTAGGCTACACCTGTGTGTTTCCTGCTATGACATGTCAAAATGCCCGCTGAGAAAAGGCACACTGACTGATTTGACATCTCTGGTGAAGATATTTCTCATGAAAGCATTTCCCAACTTTATACTGCACTGTTTGGCAGTCATCCACCAATTGTTGATATGTTTGAGCTGCTGTGTGGTTGGCATGGGTATGCAATGAAAGGATTGGGACTTGAAAATATTACTAAAAGTGTGGGTGTTGACTGAATTGAATTCGGGCTTTGCCCAATGATTGTATATGAGGATGGACGGCGTGACAACTCCCCTAAAGTGAAACCAAAACATTTCGATTGCCCCCTGGTGGTTGTCTGGGCCAAACTAAAAATTGGAAGTACACATCACGTACAGTTTTTTTTTCCCTCAAAGATGGGTTTAAGTCATTTTTAGGTAGCTCTTATCACGCTGATTTGTGTCCAAGTGTTTCTTTTTTCTGAAGCTTGGTTTTATTGAGTTATCTGATGCTATAAAAAGGGGGTGTGACATCAGGAGTGACAGCTGTGTGTGTCAGTCAGTGTGCTCCGGATTATTGGCACTGCTCGCGATTGAGTAGGATAGGTTTATGAATGGTAACTTGATAGTGTGGCTCCAATTGCTACCGAGCAGACTGTAGCTCCAAATGACATCAGCAGCACAAGATGGCAGCACCCAAATCCAGGATATTTTGGTTTCATTATTGTACAGCGGGAGGAAGTGGAGACGTGTCATCCATCCTTATATACAGCCTTGTCTGGTTTTGCCCACCACACTTATAGAGCTGGTAATTTAAGCACCTGGTGCATGCTCCTATATAACACTCCACAAGTTGTATTTTTGTCTTTATGCCGCTCCACTCTTGCTACAACATTTATAACAATTGTCGAATCAACCTTGGGACTTCCCTGACACTTACCTCATATTCTTGTGAAAACTTGAGGTTGTCGTTGGCTTTCAGGCGCTCTAGATGATCTGCCAGGTCCATAATTGGGATTGGAGGGTGGCTAGCCATACCTGTCAATCAGATGGACTGAAGGTCAGCCAGCAGTCTTTTAAGAGGGCATCACCCAAGCACAAGCCAACAGTGAATCATTAGATAAGCAGCATGTGTGTTTAACAGGGGGAATGGAAGAGTGGATCTTGTTAGGCTAGTTTGTTCACTCAAAGCAGTGGCCATGCTCATAAAGAGAATATGGACACAGAAGCCAATGAGAAGTCACCGAGCACAACTTGCCCCACTGGGACTCTCCCTATTGAGAGAGAAAAACGTTATTCACACGGAAAGCTGCGGTGGATAGTTAGCATGACAGTAAGACACAGACACAAACAAACATCCCAAAAGACAAACAAAAAACATTCAAAATGTTAGGCCAGATGTTGATGTCTGCTTTGAGTGATGACATGTTTTCAGGCTGTCATTTCAAACTCCGCCTCCTGTGATGACGTAGCATTAACACCAGGTGGATTAGATGTGAATGGGAATACAAGACTAGGCAGAAAAAAGATAAAGAAGGGAATTAAAGCTAAAAAAAAACAAAAAACAAAACAAAACCATGTCAAATGCATAATCGAGACCAACTAACTTGACAAATGGAGGTTACTGGGGTGACTGGACGCACCTGAACCTGTGGAGGAAACGGCGGTGTAATTAAATACATTGCAGATGTCATTAGCAATGTGATGACTACTTTCTTTAACAAACAGAAGGTAAAAAATTGAAATGTGACAAGAAGTAGTTGAATGATTTATGTGTATTCTAAATGGGACATTCATTAGTAACATACAAATCATCATGCTAGAAGCTGGGCTATGCCACCATGCTTATTTCATGGAAATAAGAAAGCGCACAGGGAATAAAAATCCTAGCAGCACGAATCAAAGTTGAGCAACCAAAGGATATTATTTGACATTCACGTTAACCTGAGGATGCTGACATGGTGATATACCACTTGCATAGTCTGCAGTTAAGTGCACTTGACTTTGACTATGTAGAACTGACATTGTTGAATATAGGTGGTAGTCGCGGTGTGTCATCAGCATATTCAAGAGGTGTAGGGAAACAATCAAACATGTAGGGTTTGAACAGCACTGATGCTCACTGAGACACATTTTTGTACATGCTTTCAAAGCCCAGCCTGTGGCCAAAGATCTGCAACTTGAGAATTCAGGTGCCATTTTGACACACCAGATGCATGACAGTCACTCTCTCTCCACCGAGGTGATGTTTCATTTTGGTTGCCGGCACAAGTGGGCATTAGCTAATGGAAGCTGTGCCTCGTTTTCCCACCCACTCTCACGTCTCTGAAAGACGGTAAAGGGTGTTTCTATTGCAGCCCACTACTCAAAATCCATTTCCACCACTGGGGGACAATGAAAGTACCATTTCCAACACCGTCGCTCAAACATCAAGCATCCTTAAGATGAAAATGTCCATTGAGGGGTAAAGAGGTGGAAGAAAGGCTAGAGAGAGTAGGGGAGAGAGGTGGTCTAATGTAGGAGTGCTTCAGGACTTGAGAGAAAGTGGTCACGTGGTTGGGGGGGGGAAATGTTTGGTCCTTTTTGAGCAGCGAGAGAGCCAAGCTCTCAGAAAGGCTGTTGGGGGAAAAAAAACTGATGGCTTGAGAGGCAAGTGAAATAGTGGGTGGATGGTTGAGATCACTCTGAGCCAAAAGGAAAAATACCCCTCTGCCAGGTTGAAACAGCCAGTAATGGTCCTAACATCACTGAAGAGCTTTCATAAATATGCATAATCTTTTTTCAAAAATGAGCCTGCAGGGATAATTCATCCTCCTTTCATACGAGCTGACCTGAAAAATATGGCTTTGATATTACTACATTATTGGCAGTCTCTGAACACCTGTCCCCAAAGCAGTCGGTGCCAGAGGAACTCAAACGGCAGTTAAATGTGTCTGTCTCGGTTGGCACAGGGGCAAAGATGCATACCTCCTTTCTGGGTGATAAATGGACTGTGACTCCCATCATTCCCCCAGGCGAGAAAAGGCCACACGACTGGGCCAATGCACGACCACTGACCACCACTCACCTCAGCACTAAAGGTCAGATCGAGTAAACACTAGTGTTTACAGCTTGCCACCACTCTCTCCTTGCTGTCCATACGCATACAAAGTGGAACACAGAGAGCCATGACACATTTTGTATTTCCCTCACCTTCCACAATGCTGCGTCCTGTCTCCTAGCAGCAGGATACCATCCAAGCAGGACTGTGCTATTCTGAGTAAGCATGACAAGTTTTGATGACCTGGATAACCCAGGTGCAGAGGAAGACGACAGCTGCCATGAAACTGTCAAGCTTGCATTTCTGCCTCTTCATTTTCCACTGAGAAGTGTCTCCGGGGAGGAAACTGTCAGTTTTGACCCTCTGTGCCTTCTCTAAGCACCTGTCCACTGTCTACCAGCACCTGCACTGTCTAACTGCTCACTTGTGTAGTGCCAATCTCGCCGCAGAATTGATGGGTACTTTTTAGGACGTCATGGTATGAGGTTTCAATGTCGGCAGTGGGTGAGAAATCTAATTGTGAATATAAATTATTCCTTTAAGCGAGCAATCAGTAGCATTGGCATCCCTTTCAGTTGTGAATTCACAGAGTATGAGACAGACATCATTTGGAATACATACCAGGCGTTTGGAAGTTGAGGCGTCGAAGTTCAACAGGGTCAGTGGGATGATGCAGTGGCATTTCCTTGCTGTTGGGGAGACTGCCTTTCCTAGCTTCAGATTCTGCTCTTTTTCTGCAGAACAAACAGCACATTTTTTTTTTTTTTTTTTTTTGGGCTTGGCACTCAAAACTCTTACTGTATAACCTCAGCTTGCCTCGTGGTCTAATAAATACTGCAGGCAAATATGTAATTAAGGAGGTGACAGGATTGCAATCTCTCTGTACATAAGGCTACAGGGGGTGGACTAAATAACATCATTACCTCACAGTGTAATGCAATATAATACAATACAATACAATAGCCCTTGACCCTTAAATGCTACCTTTAGTGCAGCCTAATGTTCAATTGTCAGTGATGGTGTCAGATACAGTAGGGTGTCAAGTCAACTCTAGTACTCCTGAAACCATTGTTAGGGGTGGTATTTAGATTGCTGTATATTGTAACCCTGTCTTGCTACTGTACAGACAGAAACAAGACAAACAAAAAGCTACATGCTTCACAAAGGTATCATTTACTGCAGGGCTGTGTACTGGATTGTATTATGTTGTAAAGTATTTTGAATGCCAGTTATAAGACACATATTTGCAGAGTATCATTTTCATTAGGGATGCACCAATTCTGGGCCTATACACATACACTGTTTGAAACGACAACTTGGCCGATAGCTGATACCGATGTTTTTTTGTTGTTGTTGTTGTTGTTGTTTATTTTATTTTTGCTGTTATTTATTCCCCATTTTGTGCCAGGGAAACAAAGATATTTTTGTTTAAAGTAACTTTATCGGTCATACAAGTTTGTGAAATAACATTTAACACAACTGTCTTTCACACAATAAACATCTTTTAGAAAACCCAACTGCTTCAAAAGCCTTTTTACTATATACATGTCCTCCTGAGACCTGAACTTTTGTTTGGTAGTTTTGTCAAACAACAAACATTATTAATCATATATAAGCAAGTTTGAACCATAAAATGGGATCAGGTTTTGGACCTTGGGATCTGCTGCAGACTAACTTTGCAGAGATGGCTACCATCTTGTTTTTACATGGATTAGTGTATTTTTCTCTAACTACCACTAGATGGGGCAAAAGAGTGTCCACAAATGAGGACAACAGGCCTATGTTTAAGCAAAACAAAGTATAAGGTGCAGGAAACCAAAAATGTGATGTCCTCATAGGAGGACGCAGGGTCTCAGGAGGATATATATTATCATAGTTCTCTGTTTAATATTTGTTATATATTGCTGTGAAACCTTCAACAAAAATCACCTTCAATAATTTGTTGGAGTTTTTCACCAAAAATAAAACATTAAATGTGAGCACCTGATGATGATGATGATGATGTTAAAATTTACCTTCGCCCAATGCTTATTTTTTCGGAATAGAGCTTGAATGCATCATGGTGTAACTTCTGGTCACCGGCTGCTAACAGCTAAAGCTAACTAACTCTCCTACTGCCGATTTCAACATGTATTTGTAGCATTATAAGGGAAAAAATTAGGTTGCGTCCCCTGACACATCAATTATAAGTTTACTGCGTCCTTTCATCAGGAAGGGTCTCATGGGAAAATCATTGTTCATCCCAAACATGAACCCAAGGTGACGGGATGCCGCTAGTGTGGAGCCCTGCTTTTTCCTGCGCACAACTGATGTGACACAACAGAAAAACATCGACCACTGCCATCGGTGAATGTCATCTTATTTGCCGGTAGGCGGATGGCAGTCAACAAGGCCAATATCAGCTGATGAATTGGTGCATCTCTATTTTTCATACATTTTCAGTGCACAACATTGTCACCTCTGCTACAAGATGCCATATGTCAGTTTCATAGAAATAACATGGCTTGTTCATTTATAAGAATCAACACAGAATTGGCCACTGACATGGATAATATTTTGGTCACTAGTAATTACAACATACTGTACGTACAATGGAAAAGTAATACAGTGGATTTTTTGACACAATTAATGTAAAGATTTATAATGGGAAAAATAAAAAAAATGTGCTTTGATATCTCAGTAATTGCCTGCTGACAGCTGTTATATATAGAATGTCGCTTTGCTAACAGTACGTAACATGTGTTTAACATATGTTCATTTTGATTAAGCACATACTAAGATTTCACGAATGACATCAACTCCACTGGGCAACCAATTTCTGTGTGTTTAGTTATAATTTGTACAATTAGGGAGGAAAGGGATTTAAAGGGAGTTAGTTATTTTCTACTTCTCTCTCACTCTTACCTGTCTGGTTTGCTGCTCCATTGGTCAGCAAGGAAAGAAATATCGACACAACATTAGGTGGTAAGACCTTTGGCTTATGTAACGGAGAATTCCAGAAACGTTTCTTTAGAATAAGTGAATGACTGACTTTATAGGAGACAAACGATACCAATCATATCTCAGTTTTTCCTTTGCGTGCAAGATTAGTGATGCTTCACTTCAGAGATTATGCTCAATTATGCCGCCTTGGGGCTCTTTGTTTCAAATACTACAGTTTCCCAGGTGCATCCAAGATTCCTACATTGTATCTCTGCTATTTCAAGCAGTTTCAGCTGATTGCTTCTTGTTCAAGCATAAAAGTCTTCTCTTGACTCCTAATTGCTGTGTCTGTCTTTCCCTGCAAATAAGCTTAGCACTGTTAACATTATTGAAATCAAGAATTATGCATACTCAAGACCGATGCATGTGGTATTATAAATGAGAACACGTGCGATCATAATTTTGAATGAATATGTATATATCGAGCATATATCATTAAGTGCGTGCTTCCATTTTAAAACCCTTTTATTTAGGAAATCTATTAGTTTGGTAGCAGACGTGGCTTCAATTATTCTGTGTAGGTGTATGAATGACTCTGATTTATGTCTCTCTCTGATGAAGCTGCACATTGTTATTCCCATGTCCTTTCTCAGAGCTCAACATAACATGGTTGTTGCCCTTTGTTTTGCACAAGAGGAGCATTCTGCCACATAAAAATTGATCTTGACAAGAGAAATATCTCCTGGTTATGCACCGAATGTTCCCTAACGTGGCGGTGACACCAACTTGGTAATCGATGTGTAAATCTGCCTGCCACAAATAGAAAGTCTGAAACCCCCCGCACACACAGTCTTTGTTCACTTTCAGTTCACCTTCTGTGTTATCCAAAACTTGATATGAATAGGATCCAAAGACAATAAGGTGTAAGGGAGTAAAGCTGTGTGCAGAAACCTCTAACATTACACTACTATTGATGTATTTTTTTGTCTTCAGCATTGGTGCTGTTACTGATTATATTGTGCTGACTCTTCACTAACTAATCTTACCTTCACCAAATTACTTCTTGAGGACTACTGTGAAATTCTGCTTAGGACTGGACATTTGATTGAATGAACTCTGCAGAAAATTTGCCTCATGGAAAAGGTGAGAAGAGATGAGATAAAGAAGGACAGGGGGAAAATATCAGTGTCTGGACACATGCATGTAAGATATGTGTGTATCCTTGCAAAGCAGGAGGGCATCATAAGGTCAGAGTCGAGATCCAGAGCTAGTCTCCCTCGTGGAATGGGTAGTAGTAAAAGAGGGGGAGGGGCTGGGCTGGCTGGGATGCTTGCCCAGGTCCCAGGGCCTCTCTAAAAGCTGCACACACACATGCAGTGACATGCAGCAGATAGTCAAAGCTCTCCCCTCCTACGCTTGACTGATGAGCAGTGACAGCACGAGGTCTCGCTACCACTAGGGGGTTTCAGACAAAAAAAAAAAAGAAGCTGTTTTGATTCGGTGCGAAAGTGCACTACCGCGAGTGTTCTCCACAGTTTTACATGTGTTTGTGTGTGTGTGTTTGTGCGTGCAGGGGGGGTAGATGGATGTGTCTGATTAACTTTCAGTCAACACACGTGTCTGTGTGAAGGATTGTGGGCGTCTGCATTTGATGGCTTAACAGTTAGGGTAGCTGTATGCTTGCATTTACTCATTTGAGATTTAGAGAGAGAGTGTGTGTGTGTGTGGTGCTGAAAGTGAGGGTCATTGATAGTCTGAAGATCAATGCGCCTCAGGCTTTAAGTTAAAATCTTACATTTAGTGTCTGCATTCCAATGTGCTAATTGAAGATTTGCGCGTGGCAGTGTATTGGTGTCATGAGTCTTCAATATTAAATGATCACACATAAATATTGAGTGGCTCTACATGAATTTTAAGTACACATGTTAAAGTAATAATGTGTACTGTCTGTAGTATTTATGTTAAGTGTTGAGGTAGTTTTCCCATCTGTGCTGGATTCCTGTGCTTTTGCTCCACTTATGAAACAGTTATGCTTTTCTAATTCTATATTCAGATTATTATTTCATATCCTCACCTTTTGTAGAGGAGGATGGCAATGACGATGCATATGATGAAGACAACGGCTAGCACAGGGCCCACCACCCAGATCAGGCCTTCCTCCTCGTCGATGATCGGCTGGGGATCGATGTCAGTTGATACAACTGGGTCGGAGTAGGGGCTGGTGGCGTACATGATCTGAGCCAAGGAAAACAAACACTGATCAATATTCAGCATTAGAATCTGTGGTTATTTTTTTCCAACCACCATATGCTGCTTCTGTATAGTAAACTTTATCCAGTTCTATGCTCCATCATTTTATCTATAATCTGGTGATTTGGAAAGATATTTTCTTGCTCATGTCACGTTACCACCCAGGACTGAATGCCAAAGGCTACAGTAGATCCAGACATATTTAAGCTCAACATATTCAAAGCACTACTGCGAGACTTCAATTAATTTACCCTCACGACAGAGCATTATCTAACAAGACTCTGACAAAAGCAGCATGACCAACAATACAAATTAAAAGCCAATTCAAAGTTTTGCTGTGTAATTTCTGCTAAGCCTCAGTTTGACCAATCAGAATTATCTTCAATATCTCTCCTATACAGGAGCCGTGATTGAACTATTTCACATTCTATGAGGAGATAAAAAAAAGGTCTTGTGGGATGAAAATATATGCTTCAGTGGGCAAATTAGAGATTTCCCTCCGTTCGCCATTATCGTTTTGCTCTACCTGAACTCAGGGTTAGTGGAGAGAGCGCGAGGCAACACTATAGACCCTGCAGCTCATCAAATCCATCATCACGCCTGCAGCTGCCTAATCATGCGGCTTTCGGGTCTTCAGTCCAGACAGACACACGCACACACACACACACACACACTCTAGCTGCAGCAGCGGAGATAAGGTGGACCGCACGTAGGACGCAATTAAAGAGGAGCGCTGTTATCGAGGTATTCTTACGATCAGCTAAGGTCTTAAGGGGTTTCTCCTCCCCAAAGCAGCTAAGGGTCAGCTTCTTGGGCCAGCTGCAGCTTTAAGTTTTTAAGTCAAAGCCTCACAAGGGCTCCGAGTAACACATCTGACCAGAAGCAAACTCCGACCCACTGCTGTGATGCAGTGGGTTTAACCCTCTCTGTCTATTTACGTGTACAGTTTCTAGCACAAAAACCTCAAGATCACAAGCACGGGGTATCCAAGAGGCGAACAAGCTCAGGGTTTGAAGCTGAACTCAAGTAATGGATATAATAAATGATAGCAGACTTACGTTTTCAGACATCTCCAAAACAGCGAGCACAAAGAAGATGTACTCCTGGCCATTCTGGAGTTTCTTGTTTTCAAAGCCCCTGTAGGTCTTTCCATCTCCCAGGGTGAAGTCGCTGGGCAGGTCTATGAAGGAAGCAGCGATGTAGGCTTTGGGCTCTGCCTGCCTCCGGAATCGAAGGCCTCTACTTGTACGGTTTATCTCCTTCAGCAGCTACAGCGAGGAGTAAAGAAGCAGACAGTTGATAACACGGCACACACATTAAAACACATCCACGCCAGATCTGTCTATCTAGATTTCTTTCTGATTGCCGAGCTGAAAACGCTGATTGCAATAGGCAGAACATTACAGAAAAGATCAATGACTTATTTCATCTGTTTTTTTGACTACAAAAGATTGCGAGATTAAAAGATTGTGTGGATTCCCAGCATATAAAACAGTTGAGGATTATCCAACAGCTTCAAACAGTAGAAAAGAGACGGAATTAATTTTTGCTGGATTTGATTAACATTGTTATTTATTTTCCAATTCAGTTTTTCATAAATATGAATGAATGATGTGCAAAGCGAGGATGAATTACATTATGTATCAACAAATGGCTTCAAACTACATTTTGCCAAGCATAACAAACCTTATCTTTCAAAATTAAAACACGAGTATGTTATTGGCAGGGATTATCCAAAAAATTTGAACACTTGAACATGTTTCCAATGTCACTGCCAGCTTTCGAAGGGAATTATTACATATCAAACCAATGATTTTTTTTTCTTCAACATTCATAGTCTCCAAGATAATTAATATTAAAGCCAAAAATACCACCTTTGCTCCTTCAATCAACAACAATAATGATAATAATAATAACAATAATAATAATAATAATAATAATAATAATACTAATAGGCTGAAAGAAACTGATCAAATGTGCCCTTCATACAAGTCTGTTCCATCTGACTTTAAACTTCCAGTACAAAGCGTGGATCATAATTATGCTAATCAAGCCTGGCTAGTTGTTTGGGCGTCTGATTTCATATCTCTCACTTGTGTGCACGAATGAGTGTGTGCGCGCACGCCGTGTGTGGCTGTCATTCACATTGTGTGTGCGTTCTTGTGTGTGCTCTGTTTTGGCTGCAGGGCTGTTGGTGCTGCCCGATAATGTCTTCAATCATCTCTCCTGTCAACACGGCTAAATCTAGCTGCCCTTGGGAAAAGTTGTGAAAAGGTGAGTGCCAATATTGACAAACAAATAAATTCTGACAGAGGGGCGACTTTTGGGCAATCGGTCAAGGCTACAGACAAGGGCCTATAGGCATGAGCTGTAAAGCCAATGCCAGATGAGACATGGTGTGTTTTTTTCTTTTGGCCCCATAGACACGTGATGTATTGTGATGTTTATACAATTGAAATAAATATTTTAAAAGTCACAGTTTCAGAATAAGTTAGAATTTGCCAGAGGATTTGATTTATTGAAGAATGCTTGGCTGAATTTTAATTTTTTGTGACCTGAAGGGGAATAACTTCTGAGAAGTTTTCATTTCTACACATTTCTACGACAGAGACTACAGTATATGCTGCAGCAAATGTGTGGAACCATTAGCTTTCAGTGTTTGACACTGCATCTAAAGGAATACCTAAAATGTAATCACAGCCAACAATACATAGTGATAAAAGCTTTCGTTGGCTAACACATTAAATCATACCTGCAGTGTGCAGAAACTCCTGAATTATCTCAATCGGCTAAATATAAAAGTTGTCAAGTGTTTTGTGCATACGCGGTAGCCTAGCTTTGCCTGAAACGAGAAGAGACATGAAGGCCTGATGCAGCTCTTCAGGTAATTACCACAGACACAAAGAGGAGGAGGAGGAGGTGGGGATGGGGGTTGAGTTTGCAGTGCACTTGATGGCTACTTCATGTTCTCATTTCCATATGAACAGTGCTCTCTGCAGCTATTTGCGTCAATCAGCGAGACTCATCTCCTGTTCCTCCTGCCCTCTTAGTGGCCTCAACTTTTCTCCCCCCAATTTTCAGAAAAGAAATGTGAGCTATGTGCACACAGTTATGTCGGCCCTATTAGAAGGCTGTGTACAAAAACTGGATCTTGAAAAAAAGCACTGGAATTTTACATGCCATATTTTCAATTTTCTTTCCTGGTAACCTGAGTCATTCTGACCAGCTCATCCTTTAAACCTACCTCCTCCAAATTCATCTCGTCCGGATTGTCCCAGGGTTTGAAAAACTTGCCAGTGCGCTGCTTCTTCAGAGGCACTACCACAATGTAGTATCCCCTGGAAAATAAAATGTAAAGACAGTACATAAATAATCTACATGAGGTCAAAGATCACTGCCACCTTTCAAAAGACACAAGTTCACAGCTTCTATTTGCATGTCAGTGGTCGCTGTTTCTGGCAAAACGGGGTATGACAGCAATAACAAATACAGCATTGCCCAGTGTCCACCATGTCAGCCTGTACTAGGGAAGGGAGTGCTTAGCAGAATCGGATGAAAAATGATGCATAATCATGCCATTAGCAAATTATGCAATTCTTTATCACTTTATTGGGGCTATTTTCCCCTGTTTCCTATTTAATTTAAGCATGTTCAGAGAAGTCAGGCAATACGGTTACACCTCACTGAGGCCCCCCGTGGGCTAATTAGGAGACCTCTGCGAACGCAGAAAAGATACAGAATTAGAGGGATTTTCATCCCTTCATCAGGGTGGCAGGAGAGATAACGGCCTCTGCCAGAGTTTTCTGGGCTTCCTGGTTGGGCACCGCACAAGCTAGCTTTAGCCAGGGAGGCAGTGTGGCAGGCTAATGGGAAACTAATTAGCTTAAGCTCTGGCATGGGAGACACTGGGCCAAGTGCATCCAGCAAGATCAAAAAACCCAAGATGGGTTTGAAGCATCAGTCTACAATCGGATGTGCTCCTTGGCCTTCTGACAACCCTGGGCTTTGTTGAAAGGCTATAAGAGACTTTATAGGGCTTAGAGGAGTGCGCTTAAATGAGTCGGGCTGTTTCAGTGTGTAATGACTGAGGTGAAGTGGATATTACACTGAAATGTAGGGATGAATATAAATGACTCTGTTTTGGAAGAATTACCCCTGACAAGGGCAGCTATCAAGTTATCTTCTTTATTTCCATTCACAGTGCATCAGTAAGAAAGAATAGTTAGTAATGTGGACATCAGCAATGGAAAGAGAAAGTTCAACTGTCTGTGATGTCTTTACAAGTCACATATCCAACAAATTCTAAAATCATATTATGCTTAATGCAAGTTGGCAATTACAAGTCGGGCAGCATCTGGGATCTGGATAATCAAAGTCGACTCAGGGATGGCACTCCTGGAGTTGATTAGGTTTGTTAAAATTTACTGCCTGCCAGTTAGTCTGTGTACAAGACAGAGCTAAGAAAAGTGCATTGATTTGACTGACAAGGGCTCAAGGGCGACTTGACAGATGATTCGAATCATTGACGTTTAGGGGGCTGCAATTAGAAATCACCTTCAGTTTAATCATCTCTACTCACCTTATTTTCTCAGATGTCTGCACTGATGGTAGCTCCACAGTCACCATACCATCTGAGTTGGTTTTACCAATCAGATATGGTTTGGTGCGGAGGATGTCTGGGGCCGTCATGGTGGAAACACGATGCTGCAGACCTCCGGCACTGTTGCCACGATTGGTTAGGAGAAAGGAGTACTGTGTCTCAGGCTGAAGACCCGTGATTAGCTTCTGTGTTAGCTTCCCATCCACCTCCACACTCTGCCCATTATCATAGAGGATCTGTGTGTGAATGAGTTGATGTGTTATGTGAAGTTTCGGTTGTGGATGTTAACTGAATCATTCTCTGTATCATAGTAATACATATGGAAATGGTTTATTTATCTAGGCAGTGCTCACAGTGAAAGGCTGAGCTGGGTTGTAGGTGTCTGGGATTTCCCAGGTCAGCAACACGGATGTCTTCATGGCAGCTCTCACGTGAAAATTTTTTGCAAACACTGCTAAAAGAAAGGGGGAGCAGGTGATTTAGACACAAAACATCCTCTTTTATCTATCTACTCTACTGGTCCCACACCGGTGCTTACCTGATAATGTCTCCTTCAAAACCAGGCTGAAATCACTACTACACTGAACTCAACACTGTCTTCTTACCTTACCAACACCAACTCTTAAATTAATGACTGACCTTTGCTTGACGAGACACAAAAAGACATACATACTTACTCCATGTGAGTTTATTAAATCATTCTTAGATTATGGAGACTAAGGGTAGGGCAATATGTTAATACCAAAGTCTTGCGGTTGATTCCAGACTTTGTCAACTTCTGCCATTTGAGGCTTTCAGAGGAAGCTGCTGTGGTTGGAAAGGGCTGCGCAGGGAAAGGTTGATTTTAAAAGGGAAAGAGCTAAAAAGGTTCAGGGACTGGTCCTACCTTGATCCAAAGGCTGTGTCCTGAATTGGACACTTGGGCTATAGGGACCAGAGCCCTTGCTGGTGAAGGCACACATTTTAATATCATAAGTGGTATCTGCCTTAAGGCCATCCAGGATGACTGTTGATTCCGGGGCGGTGATGAAGAGTTCCGAGGGACTGCGTGGGCTGTTGATGTCCTTATACTGCAGAGCATATTTCACTATTTGGCCGTTTCGCTCTGCCAGCAAAACAGGTTGCCAGCTAACCTGAATGGTGGAGGTGGTGGCGCCCTCTGCTGTAATGCTCTGAGGGTAGCCGCTTGGGACATCCTCATTTGTGGTGACTTCTTTGACCGTTTCTTCGCCAAAGCCCACCTTGTTGCGCGCGGAAAGGCGAAAAGTGTATGAGGCTCCCTTATGGATCTCTTTGGTAGTGTAGTGGTTCTCTCGCTCGGGGAACTCGATGACAGTCAGTGGATCCACGTCTTTGCGGCCAAAACGGAGGCGGTAGCCTTGCAAGGGACCATGGGTTAATGCTGGGGGATGCCACTGGAGGAGAGCTGTGCCCATGTTGGTTGTACTGACCATTAGCCGTGGTTTATCAGGAACTAAGACAGTATCAGTAGAGAAAGGGACAACTTAATATGGAGAACCATGTTTCCATCTTATCATATTTTTGGTACACAGGCATTCAATATCAGTTGATCTACTATCTGTCTGTCTGTGAGTACAGCCAAGTACTTTTAGCATGGTATAACACTGTCAAAAGCAGCGAGTGCAAGAGCTGAATTTGGGTGTTCTTTTTTTCTTGTCTTTCTTTCACTTCCTCTCCATTTTTCATTATTTTGAAAATGCCTACAGCATTGCTGTGTCACACCACTGGGTACGAGTTATTGCAATAAATGAGACAGCAATTAGCTGCATTCACACTTTACACGCTCGATGACAAGAATATTTGCCTCGTGCTTTTTTTCCCTCGTTGGCTGCAGTTTCACAGCTTCACAGAGCAGAAATGCAGTTTCATGTGAAAATGTAGTGTATTAGCAGAGAACCACAGGAGATTTGTCAGCAGTCACAGTTACAATACCTGCGCCAGTGGTGGTGATCAGTTTGGGCTTGCTGCGTGCACCGTCGCCCTTTGTCGTATAGGCTGCCACAGTTACTGAATATGTGGTCTCAGCCTGCAGTTCTGTGATGATCATTTCCTGTAAAGACCCAGGACTTTAGTTGAAGGACACCCACTGGATTATTGCAGATACATGCAAGTACAGAGATATAATGGGATGTGATGTCAGCGTAATCATCACGAAAAACACAACAGACACATTCTCTCAGCATATACTGAAAACTGAGGCATGCTTCAGTGGAAAAGGATAGTGTTAACAAGCGTTGGTAAAAAAACAACTTCGCTGAGCTTAATTTAAAATAGCTTTATCAGAATCAAACCTTTAAGGTCAGTATTAGTGTTAGTCAAGGATTCCATCCACAGTTTTAAAGGTAAATATCTTAAGAAGCTGAAATAGCGCTCAAGCTTAAAACCTTGAGGTCTTGAACTCCTAATGCACAAAAGACACATGCCATTCATGCAGAGGATGACAGCAGGGGAAAACAAGATTGGACTTTTGTCAAGTTTAACTACTCACATGTTCGGTTGAATCATCATATTCCCACTGATTATGATATAAGAATATGGAGAGAAAAGAGACAAGAAATAAGGCCAGGTACAGACACGACTCACTGGTGAGAAAATACACACACACAGTTTGTCTGCAACCACCAAATAAACTTGTTATTTGATAGAAATAATTGCGGCAAAAATAGCATTAATTACATGTAGGCTTCTAGATATGAGTGCTCAATGTCTGCATCCAGCAGAATTGTAATTAGGGATAAATCAGTTTAATAGTAATTGTTTTACTGAGTTCAGTTATTAATATGATATGATGAAAAGGAGCTTTTTTCCACTCCAAATAAAAGACTTTGCCATAAAGGTGAGAAAGAGAATGCGATACTGTGTGTCTGAGAGAAGAGGTGGCTGGCTGAGGAGGCTGTTGTACCTGGGCATCATCAATCAGGATGTCCTTGATGACTGGCTGTCCTGTGGGCTCCCCATTAACCATCCTGACATAGTGCACCTGGTACCCTCGGATCTGACCGTGCTGCTTGGTGGGCATCGGTGAACGCCAGATCACTTTAATTGATGAGGAGTTGACAGCCTCCACCTCAACTTTACGAGGTGGCCCGCTAGGAACTGGAGGAACACCATGGGATAGAAGAAAAAAGGTCAAAATTATAGAGAACCCCGTCACCCTCTTTTTAAATCTTGTCCAAAATCCGTAGCGCAAAATGCTGCAGTGACCAAAAAAAATCACAAAAGTGCAGCAAACTGCAACAAGCACTGCATGACATCAATATTTCAACAATGGTAAGGGGAAAAAACAACAGCAAAAACAGGTCTGACAACTGACCTAATCTTGAAACATTAAAAATGGGTAGTGGATTTTTAAAACATGGAAAAAAAAATGTGTTTTGCCAAAATAGAAAAGTGGAGCCAAAGAGGGGCTTCAAGTGTTTCAAATGCTTGAAGCACTGCAAGAATTTTGGCTATGGTGCGAGGAAAAAAATGAATAAAAAATATGATTTTATCACATGAGGGGAGGAAAAAAAAATGGCCTTCAAAAAATTCTTCCACCTTTTGTTTTTCCCACTGTCCAGAACTTGTCCTTTTGCCAAGTTCCTAAAAAATGAGTTATACAAAAATGCTGCTGTTCAAAAACACTGCAGAGAATATTTCAAAGTTTCAAAAATGACAGTTGGGATGGAAGTTGGAGGCCTGCAGTTGAAAATGCCATACCATGTGTTGAAATTGAGCAGCGTAGGGGGAAAAAAAAGCCAAAAAAAAAGTGCTTTTGCAAAGTGAATCACAGTTTGTTCGGGTGAAAAAGTGCACAGTCCAAAATGGGCTAAAAGTATCAAGTGGTGACAGTCGTATTAGAAGCAGGCAGAGAGGGTAGAAAAGAAGAGGGAGTTGTAGATATAGGCGAGGTTGTTAGTATTTGACGGGGAAGGTTAAGAGGGGGTGGACTGGATTTGCAGCTGGAGGTTTGTTTTAGCGAAAACATACCATCCTCCTCTGTGCGGATGAGCTGTGGCAGGCTTTCCGGTCCTGCCCCGACATCTGTATGAGCAGTGACCGTCACACGGTACTCTGTCCATTTCTCCAAGTTTTCCAAAAGGTACTGAGAGCTTTCCGGTGGTATGTTGGTGATTTGAAGAGCAGTAGTATTTCCCCCTTCAGTTGCAGCATATTGGATGGTGTACTGCGTTATGATCCCATTTTGTAATTCCACTGGTGGTGGCCGCCAACTTACCAGGACATTGGTGGAGCTGGGGCTATAGCACTTGACTCCTTGAGGTGGGCCCGAGGGTTCTGGTTGGCGAGTTGGATTTGGTGCAGGTGAAGGGTTTTTTGTTTGGTCAGGCCATTCATTGAGTTGGATTTTTTGTTTTAAAGGAGTTTCAGTTTTTGGTTTGATCGGGGTGATGATGGTAGAATTGACCAAACAAAGGAAAAAAGAAGAGGAAAATAAAATGACACAAATGAGGAAAAAGCACAAGGACTCATGTGGGTAAATAAAACATACTTCAAATCAATGAAACATCACAAATAAAGACGAAACAAAAGGCAAAAACCAAAACAAGAGTGCACACACTGAAGATGAATGGAAGGTGTTGATTGGAAAAAGGACAGCTTTAACATATGTAACCTACCTTTGGCAAGAAAAAAAAATTAAAAAAGGGAAACAAAAGTCACAAATCCTAATAATCTACTTATTAGATCCTTTAAATTCTAAAATAAAAACCTAAAATATTTGAAAGTACTCAAACAATTTAAGATAAACCATTCCAAAATAAATGTAGTAATAACTAAGACAAATTTGGCAAGCAGTTACCATCAATCCAAAAACATAAAGGTTGATGCTTTAACTATTTAAAACAGAAAAATGTTGTATTTGTCACCAACCTTTCCGAAGCCTGTTGGTTTGTGGTAAAAGCCTGATTGTACAACAGAGAACTTCCCAAGGAGACATGACTGATTTATTAGATTCTGATAACATCGGCATGCACTTTTTGATTTACTTCATCATTTACCTCAGAACATACATCTGGGCAGAGTTTGAACTGTCATACCCACCTGATCCCTGCCCTTGTCTTACAGAGACCCCAGATTTATGTCAGATGTGCAAACAGTTAAGTGTTTTTTCACTTATGGTTGGAGGGAAATTCTGTGACTGCAAATCAGAGTTCAACTGCACTTCATTTAGCTTTTAATAGAATCCAATTTTTCAGTTTTGACCTGTTACATAAATCTGGGGTCTTTTGGGTGGAAATGTCCCTAACTGTAGAGACAATACTTGCTTTGAGCTTTCTATGATATTGTTACTCCACAACTTTCTTTATTCTAATTTGAATTGAGTGTAAACATCAATGCCGAAAAGTGGGAAAATCCCAAGTGGTTCTTGGCAGTGTAGCTACATAGAAAGCTCAGTTTCAAAAATTCTCTACTCTATTATTTCTGGCCGACATGCAATGTCAAGAGACAAGGCTTCCTTAGATGCCCTTTTATTTATGAAAAACAGTTACGAATATGTGGGCATTTCTATAAATAATTCAAGGATTTGTCAGTCATTTCAGTCAGGACTGTTTTTGCACAACAAAGGTGGAGAGGGGTAGTTTTTGTAACCTTGTCTCCTGACTTCACAGGAAAGCCTGGCTACGCTGTCCATGCAACCTTTTCAAAGTGAATACTGCATGGTCAGGTAACACGTATTTACTATTTCAAATGTTTACATCTTTCAAATGCATCAACCCCTTTAAAGAAAAACCATATTCGCTTTATCTGTGCTCAGGACCTTCCTGACATTCTTGTCAATTTTGGGGATTTTGCAGCACACGTAAAATTTGGAATGCATTTGAAAATGTGATCCTTCCCAAATAGTTTAAACTCTGTCAGATAAGGAAGAAGACCTACGTGTCTGTGGAGTTTCTGCCGAGATCTCATTGGTGTAAGCTCCAACTCCATGTTTACTACGGGCAGCCAGCCGGAAAGTATAAGTAGTGAAGGGCTTCAAGTCCTTTAGCAAGTATGTTGTTGTCGGCTCAAAGCTGATACGTTTCTGTGGGGAGAGTTTCATATTGTCAGTTTTTAAATTAAGACAGGGAGTTCCAAATAAAAAAATGAATACAAGTATACTGCCTCCTGATATGAAAATAAAATTCGAAGGTCTACGATTTTGCTGTCAGAAATAAAACAAGGTGTCAGATTATATAAATGAGTTTGACACTCAATTTAGTACACTTCATAGTGATTGACAAATTACATGGTAAAACCCATTCTTCAGAAGTGTCTGACCAAAGTCTTTCTTTATGTTACAGATTTGTCATACTGTATGAACTATTCCTGATTATACAAACATCAGGAATGCAGCCATAGGGCTGTATTTTTTAGTGTTATGGGGAGACCTTGCAAAATTATTGAGAAATGACACCATATAGTTGCGGTATAAATGTACACATTTCTTTGAACATTTAATGCCCATTATCATGTATAGACAAAATAAAACTACTGGACTGCGTCACTCCTACTTTGGTATTGACTAAGACTTGATAATTAGTGCTATTGGTATTAATAAGTTGGAAGCACAAGACAATGATAATGACACAACATAAAAATAAATGCACAAATACATAACACAATCAAATTACTTATATTTTGTATTGTGTTTGTTACAACAAACTTTTAATGTACTGGCTGGCCAAAAAGATACAAGTCAGGAAATAATTACCTCCTCTTTGTCATCCCTCTTCCTGTATATAAGATCATATCCTGTGATTTGATTTTCCTGTCCGGTCTGTGCTGGGGCGATCCATGACAGCAAAATACTTGTTTCTGATTTGGCTTCTCCTTTGAAGTCAGTTGGTTGGGAGGGAACTGCAGTGGAAATGAAGGGATGAATTCATTACTCTCTACATCTCGCACTATTCATTATCATTACAGTCATACTTGCACAGATGCCACTTTGTGGTTTGAGGTATTGCTACAAGAACCACACTGTATTTCAGGAGACGCTGTTGTTTCGGACAAACCAGGACAGTGCAGACACACAGTACATGGTTACTTCATGCTGAAAAACTTCTTTTCTAGGCGTTTGAATTTCTTGTCCTTAGTTAACTTTTCAGATACAAAACTATTTTTTCCCACTTGAGAAAGCCAATTGAAGTTTTCCCCGACAGCCTGAAGATGTTCATGTGTTTACAACTGCAAACCACTAATGAGGATCTGTGACTAAAAAAAACCCATAGCTTCAAAAATGTTTGTGACACTTAGAGTTTAATTGTGGAGTGTGAACATTTGTTAAACCTTGGATTCGTTCAATTATAGATTCTCTGACAAGGAAAATAAAACAACGCTCACCTCCTGTCTTTGCGATGATTTGAAGGTCTGGGGAAAGAGGTCCGTCGCCTACTGAGGTGTAGGCCAAAACCTTGATGTAGTAGGTCTTATTGGGGATGAGGCCCTGGATGGTGACAAAGTTAGACCCCCGAACTATCTGCTTCTCCCAGAGGTTGACGTGCTGGGTGGAATCCATGGTGTAGTAGACTCGATAGCCCATGATCTGCCCGTTAGCCTCCTCAGGTTCATCCCAGTGGATGACAGCTGTGGTGGTGCTCAGCATGTGACCTCTGACCTGCCTTGGTGCCGTGCTGGGTGCCTGCTCAGCTGTTTTGGCCTCGATGCTCTCACTGGGTGGCCCTCGCCCAATGTTGTTCACCGCCACCACCCGAAACTCGTAGTCTGAGTACGGGCTGAGGCCTCCTACGCTGTATCGAGTGGTAGCTACACCATCAATCTCTTTATACGAGTCCTCTGAGTACTTGGACTTGTGTTGGATGATGTAGTAGGACACTGGTTCAGGATTGCCGGAATCCCAAGTCAATGTTATGCTGGTGGCTGTGCGCTCGGTCACCACAGGAATGCCAGGAGCCTTGGGCAATGCTGTGATGATAATCATTATATACATATTAAGAGAAATGCAAATACACAGCAAGGTTATACCTCTGTAGAATCATTTATTTCATGTTTTGGGCCTTAGAGACTTTATTTTAATTTGCAGATGGTTGAATTATATTGATTACATTCATTTACCAGCCCATTGCACACGATACTGATATTATACAATATATCCTGAGTCATAAGAGACAAATATGTTGTGTGCTTTCTATTAGGTGGGTGGATAGTCTTTATTGTTTCATTTTTCTGGTTTACATTTGTTAAAAAAACAAAAGTCGCACATGAACTAATGTTTGAGATTAAAGGCTCGCATACCCCATGCTCAGCAGCGAAGAGTGCTGTTGTTGTTAATCTCAGATTTCCCAGTGTTTATCACTTTAATAATTTAACAGGTAAATTTATTGCTTTAATTCCCCACACTGTGGCACATGGCAAAAGATATCAGGGCAATAGATTGTCTTTATATGCCATCTGAAGTATGCTTCTGGGGGAGCTTGCTGCCAGACTGTTATATTGTGACTAATATCTCTATGTTATGTCTAGGAAAAACAAAGCTGAGTGTGTGTACGTGAGTCTGTCCCTTGTGTGCAGGGCGACGCCAATCTGGGATATCTGTCGGGTACGCTGCTGTGTAGATATGATTACACTCAGATAAGTAGCATGCCTACAGAGGACACCAAACAATACTGTGCTCACTACCTTTCACACCACCCCTCAAGCCCCCTGCTCTTCTACCTCTTGCTAACAGAAAATGGTGAGCTTGTGGATCTGTAGCTTTCCGGCTGAGAGATAAGCACTTCACTATATTCTCAATCTGGCATCTAATGCACTGAGGCCGGTGCCAGGGCTTGTCTGAAGCTTTAAGGAATCCTCCGCAGATGACTTATCGTGGCAGTGAGAGGTAAATAACTTTCTTTAAAGCACCGCCAGTAGTCTCTGCTTAGATAGTTTACTCCTAATATAAAACTGCAAATTGATATATGTATTGTAACTATATGCAGGATTTTGAGTGGGCTATTTTAAAGTCCACTTTTAGCCTTCATATGTCTATTGTCGGAGCTGCTGAAATTTCAGCCTTTAATGATAAAGAAGGAGCGGCTTTACCTTTCACTGTTATCTGTGCCACAGCCTCTATCACCCCCAGGGTTGACATGGCCACACAGGTGTAATTGGCTGACTGCCGGACGTCTGTGAGCTCCAAGACGTTCCGTCCAATAGGCATGTCGTCCTCTGGCGTCAGGTCCTCAGCACCCAACATCCATTTGACATATGGCATGGGCGAGCCCACTGCCACACACGTGATATTGACACTGCCGCCTGGCATGATCTCATTGTCTGTAGGTGGAATGGAGAATCGCGGTGGCACCCGGCGTACTGAATAAAAAAAACCAAAACATGGTGTGAAAACCTAGCAGAAAATGGAGCAGCCCAATACATTTATAGAAAAAATGTTCTGAATTCTCCTTGAATGTTGCCAAAGAAAACAGACTGATTGTTTAACACTTAGACATTATACAATAACAACATAAGGATGATGTTAAAGGTTTAATCATAGCACAAAAATTCAATCTGTGTGATAATTTATGATTGTTTGATGAAGGTTAAGTAAACACATTTGATCCAAGAGATTTCAATGGTGAATGGGTTAACACCAACATGAGCCATGCACAAAACGTTCTAATCATCAGTACAGATATACAGAACTGCACAGTGTACTGGAGAGTTGACAGCACTCCACAGTTGTATGCAAAGAAACAACTTCAAGGCTGTGCACTTCCAGCTGATGTGAGATAATGTGCTGCATCACATCCTCACATCACACAAACAATAATGCTCCTTAGAAGTCACACACGCTCTGCACTTTTCAGGCACAATCCAAAGTAGAAACTAGGGCTGTCAAATGTTATGCATTTACACCTTGGATCAACTTTAGAGTGATAACACAGTCACCCTTAACATGTTTCCCTGTCCTGCCTTTACTCTTAAAATTGCCTGTAGACTTTAAAACTCTGCCTGTTGGCTCAGAGGATGAAAGTAAAGTTATGCATACTTTCTTTGTGCCGGTGAATTCAATGACGAATGAGAGGTCTTTAGCTTATCACAAGAGGACCAATTATGTTAGCGCTTAAAGCATTAACGTGTCTCGCTACACTACGTTCTATGATTGTACAAATCAGTCCGGGCCCGTGAATGAATCAAAATCAAGAACATTAACCGATGCTAATTCAAATTATTTCAACGGGACTGCAGGCCTCAGTACAGTTTCAGATAATGGGCTGACAGAGCTTATTCAGATTGAAAGTTCTGAGATGTAACTTTACCTTTACCCAGGAACATGTGGCAAATGTCAAGCACCTAAACAAGCCACGTCTTTATAAAAAGGAGCAGATAAGATGCTTGAAGTATATATACAGTACAATATAATCACTGAAAGAAGCTTTTCAGCTGCGTAAAGTGTGTAGGATTTAGGGGAATCTATTGGCAGCAATGGAATATGATAATTATGTTTTCCTGAGTGTATAATCACCTGGACCCACAAATCGTTGTTTTAGCTTAGAATGAGCCCTTAACTAGCAAAACTGTAACCTAAAATAATTGTTTAATAGTCTAGTCTTTGCTTTAACCCCGAGATTAAACTTACAGGACACCTCATGGCCTAACTTCAAAAACAAAACAAAACAAGATGATTTTTTATTTATTTATTTTATATCGATTTTTCCTCTTTGTATTGCTTCTGGCAAGCCTGCAGCCACGACTGGACTTCCTTGCAGATTTTTATCCATCTTTATATCCATCTAGTCATATGGGGTTTCTGTATTTTGATGTCAATATAGTGTTTTGCATCAATAGCTGATCCCATGGACTTACAAGGCAGACTCTTAATTTCCATGTACTTTGGTGTGAGACCAAATTGTACAAATTATAGGAAAACATGGACAGTATATTTCTCTATGCCTTCATACTTGATATGCATCATATAAACTGAACTCATGTGTGTAATATTCAGTCCAGTTTGCCTGATTTTCCAATCTTTACAAATAAAACTAGCCCATATTTTGCCATCAAGCCCAACTTTTCGTTTTCCTCAAACCAAAATCATTCAGGATGTGGTGCACACAGCTTATCATATAAAGTTTGAACATGCACTTAGAGCACTGGTTGAGACAGTCGCAGGGCTCACCGCAACGTTCGCTGTGCATCGTGCATAACCACACCCATACAGGTGGAATACCAACTTTTGGGTTGGGTTAGGGTTAATGTTAGGGTCTGCCATGTTACATGGCCATGTTCCTAGAGTAGCCCAGAATGGACAAACCAAACACTGGCTCTAGCGAGGGCATTTGTTTTTACATTATCTTGGAAAGGGAGAATTGAGTTGTGAGGGGTGTTCAGTTTGTTGTAATCTGCAACCTCATCTCTAGATAGCACTAAATCCCACACACTGCTCCTTTAAAAATGTTTTCACAATTTATGTAGAGTACACAAAGTAATCATTTTGTTACATTAATACAGATGCAGGAAACTATGGTCAGATGTGTTTCTTAGTGCTGAGTCTTAGTTAACCAAGGTTTGTGTTATATAAGTTTTCTTGTGATTCATAAGTTTTGCTGATGCTAAACAATTTCAAAATATAATCGAGTGTGATTCTACAGCACTGTTGATATTAATCTGGATTTTTTTAAAAAAAAAACAAACATATTATTTGACAGCTCTAGCAGATACACATTTTCCCAAAAAAAATTCCAAATAAATAAATAAAAAGCTAAAACTTCAAAGAAAAGTTTACACTTTAAAGTTAACTTAAATGTATAACATTCATAATGCACACGGATGGCTTCAAGGCCTTTTGGACGGGAGCAAGAGTCCGTCATGCATACAAGAACAATACGTGACTTTGTGAGGCAACCATGTAAGGGAGTCAAGGGGAAGAGGGCTGCGGGGGCAAAATAAGTAGTAAAGGAAGACGTGGTGGCACAGGGTGTGATGGAAGGGTTAGTCTGGTAGCGCTACATTGTTGTAAATGTGGCTTGCTCAAGGTCCCGGGTGAATTAAGAAACACTTAGAGGAAGGCAACAACATCTTCGGACAAAGGGTAAATGAATGGACATAATAAAAAAGACAATATATTATTCCTCCTCAGGGTTTACTGGGGAGGATTTGTATACAAAAACATTTAAATCCAGATCATGTGGATAACTAAGGGGTTTAGGCATAAGGGAAACACACCAGGTAGTGCTGTTAAACATTTAGGACTGAAATTAAAAGTAAAGTCAGTGTTACTGCTGATGGTATTTGAAATAGATCACTGTTAGCTTGGATTAGATCTCGTATTATGTTCTGTAGTGAACTTTAAAGAAAGCTGTTAAGAAATATGTCACCTTTAAGTGTCTGAATACTTATATTTATTGCCCGTTAATAGACCCTGCTTTGTAAACAACGTCTATAGTCATTCCTGTGACTGTAAACGAGGTAGATGTGCAGGTATATTTGACTGCAACATAGGCACGTGCTTCCTGCTGCCTGCTACTAATCCACCAAGCCCATTCTGTTGAGCACACTGCAGCTCTCCAGAGAGGAAATCTAGGGGAACTGCTTGCATTATTAAATACAACGTTTCTCTCACTCAATATTTAATTAATATCCAATTGGATCATGCTCCCCACAGACATAATATTATCCTGCTCATTTGAATATCATTACATTTGTCAAGTCTCATGGATAACGCTCTAAATACATCATTCTTTGGCGACTTCCTGCGCGGAAACAACCTCGTCAGAGGAAGTGTATAATCTCTGAGGGCAAGGTTGTTTTTACAGCTTGGCGCTTGACTTTAGTGCCAATTACAACAAAGGATGGATTTTGCTTTAACATATTTTTATCTCGGAGAAACTTCAATTGGAGAGAGCACCACAGGGAAAATTTGAGTGTAGTGATGCTTAAATGGCACTACGGAGAGAAAGATTCAGCGCTCATATGGAGCAGCTCTGCATCTATGTAAAACAGCAGCTATTAGTTTCAGGAGCCCATAGAAATCAAGGACATTGTTCCCACTGACATTATGTGTGAAATTACTTGTTTTTGTAACATAATTTATGTATTCATTTCTTCCCCCTCTTATCCCATCAACCTGCTGTGTATTCATCAGAGAAACCGAGCAGGAACACTGACAGGGAAAGGGTTTGGGCGAGGGCTGGGGAAAAGGGAATGACTAGCTCAAGCGTAGGAGGCGACCATGCAAATAAACCCTTGGACAGATGCAAATATCGTCCCGACCACCCCACCTCAAGGATGCAAACATGCACCACCTGTTGGACAATCAAGCACTCTGACAAGGACTAGGGGCATTCTCAATGGGAGCATGAACATTGAATGAGCGAAAAGAGTAAAAGAAAAATTGATATCGATAGAAGTTTAAAGAAAAGAGAGAGATTGTCTTTGTGGCAAACAAATGAATGTATTTCTGTTTTGTGTGTTGTGTTCAAAAAGTAAAAACACACCAACCTTCTCGCAGCTCTGAGGGATGTAGGAAATTTGATGCAGAACAAAATGAAATAAGGAAAGGAGAAAAACAAGGGAAACACAGAGAGTAAAAAGGCCATGTTTTAGGTGTTCAAATGCTGCTTAAACAATTCGAAGGACCTTCTGTCTCCACGGTGCGGGGGAGTCCCTTGTATCTCCCTGATACCCAGATTACAAAGCGAAAGTCTGACCTGGCTGAGCTCAAACACTTTGAATAAAAAAGAGTGTTTACTTTAATACAAACTCTGCCCGAGCCATATGGTTAGCTTTTATTTAGATTATAATGAGTGCTCTAATATATAATATGTATTATGAGACTTGGGCGCTGGATGGTATTTGCTGATTAGAAAAGCTAACCATAGGACTCAATAACATTGTAAAATGGCTATGAAAATTACAAAAAGAATATTTATCTGATACAAATATGTGTATTTAATTAAGAATTAGAATTTAAGAATTTAAATAAGACAATACTTGACAAAACTGTAAGTTAAACAGTGGGTTTTGTACATAAAAGCAAATGAAGCCTTGACTGCTGTGTCCATATAAAAGTGAGAAGTGGTAATATTGTGACTTTAAAAGACAAAAAGATCTTAACCTCTATTAAAAAAAAAAAAGATTACTAACAACCAAAAACTGTGACTATGTTTTTACTATTTTATTTTTACAAAGAGTAGGATTATGAAATACCCTTGATATTAGAATTATTTTATCCCAGTTTTAGCCCTTGAAATTTTTAAATTGAATTTAATTGTCATTAAAACTAGTGAGATTAAAGGCGTCCTTCCAATGTTGATCAATAGGGAGAAAAAAGGCCAGAGAGGATCTGTTCACTGCCGGGGAAAGAGTTGGGACTGATGAAGGAGGGCCGGTCGCCCTTTACCCCCTCCGACAGTCAGGTTTGAAAGGCAATTAGTAGATAAACACAGCAAGCAGTCTACTCATTGGTGTTAGACTCAGGATTATCAACAGAAAGGACCAGAAACACATAACAGAGCAGATACTGTAGGTTCAAATCAGTGCAGGTAAGTCAAGTGCAAAAAAAAAAAAAAAGTAAAAAAACAAACAAAACATCAAAAACAAAACATACTTACAATGGCCTCGCAGGAAATGGCCCCTGCAGACTTTATTGGCTGATTTAAAGGTTCCTCATAAATTTTAAAGAGAAAGTTAACATAATGTTTGACAAGAGCATGCCAGTGTCGTCAACATGTTTCCTACCTCTGACATAAAGATTCGCTGGGGCAGAGTAGCGGGTTCCATCGTTGTTGGTCGCCACACATTCATACTTCCCCTGGTCAGACTCTTCGCTCTGCTCTATCTGGAGGGCTCCTGGTTGGGAATAGCAAACGAGGTAGCGAGGTATGTTTGGTTAAAATGATGTTGATCGCATCCAGTTCACTTTAAGCAAAAAAGAAAAAGAAGTGTTTGACCTCAAGGAGGCCAACATCAGCCACCTTCATTTCTAGTTATGCTTTGTCCTTTAAAGCCTCAGACAGTTTGAGGAAAGTTGTAATTAAACAATATCCAATAAACTGCACGGATGAAATGCTATGTTCTGCATCTGTTACTATATACTCTATGTTTTAAAGTTTATCCCCCATCATTATCACAGCCTGATCCTCTGGCTGAGGACTGTGTTATCCTACATTAGGTGAGGGATAGCTGCAAATGGCAATCATGCAAGACATTGCAATACAAGTTTATTGTTCCACTTAACAGGGCTAAAGTAACAACAAGGGAAAGGAAAATAACACATTGTCAACAAAATCCAAAAGAAATAAAAGGAAAATCACCTAAGTTATCTTCTGTCTATAAAACATTTACCTTGTTGGTGACTTCTTTAGAGAAAAAGCCTGATTACTTATAAGGCTATAGGGTTTTAAAAGACACTCATCCTAACGCCAATGTCCAAAAAATGTCATAATTTCACTTTGAAGAATAGGGGCAAGCCCTTCAATATACAACATGTCACTGGACTGGTCAATATGGGGATGAGTGATACTGCTTCAGGGAAACATGGATCAAACAAAAGAGGTTTACAGTATAAGAAAGCAGCATAACAAGGGAGGACAATTGAAAGAAAGAAATTTAGGTATGAATTTTAGCATATTCAATCACAGATCGAGCGACCAACATTCATCTAACTGAATAATTTGGGACTTCATCTAGGTGAAGTAGCTTTCAAAAAATGCAGCCCATACAAAAAAATTGAAAAATGCTGCTCATATATTTGGAAAAATATTAATTGAAGTATTATGTAAGGCAAAACCAACATATAACCCTCTGTAACAAAAGTTTTGACATGCAAATCTTGACAAGAAATGTATGTCGGCACAACTTACAACCTTCTGACAACCCTTAGCTGAAAAATAAAATGCAATTGTATTAGAAGACAAAATTCAAAATATCGACCTGAGCCGACAAGAAGGCAACCAACCACTGCTTTTAGCTTGTGAAAGCTACAAAAGACACCCATAAAAATCCACCAATGGGATCAGCAGTGTGGTGTCACATGACCCAGGGAAAAATGGCTTTATGCATCAACAACTCTCCAGCTTCATGTCACACGGCAAAAATGAGCCAATCAGGTCCTCGCCAGACTCTACTGTTTGCCTTCCCCAAACCCTGAAGAAAAAAAAGTCAAAAAGTAAAATAGTCTCCAAACCCAAGAAAAGTAAGAAAAATAGGTGAAAGAGAAAAAAAGCACCGTAGAAACTTTATCAAAAAAGTGGTTGTTTGGGCTTTTTTGTAGAGGTACAGGAGAGGAAAGCAAATAGAAGAAATGGAAAAAAATAGTTTCAAAGATAGAAAGAATTCTTTGGGAGAAAAAAGCAGAGGAGAGGCAATGTTGTCTTCAGCATGCCTGCGTGATTCCACAGCATCTGTGCATATTTTTTAGTGCTGAACAAGAACAGCTAAGGGGGAAAAATGCTTGGTTGTTTTAGTTGGACAAAAAGAGGGACACATGATTCGCTATGGCCAAAAAGAAAACAAAAATGAACGGAAAAAATATAGTTTAAAAAAATAATTGTCATTGGATATGCTTATTTGAGCCAGGGCAAGCATATCGCAACTGAGCTAAACAGGCTCTTGAAACCAGAATACAAAGGAGTAAATAAAGCATAGACAAAAAAAAATGGAGTACAAATTTAGTCAACGAAACAGGACAAATAAGAAGGAAGGTCCATATGAACGTAATGGGATTTGGTCTTGGTAAACAGGACAAAAATGGAGGTGATTCAAGTGAATGGATGGGTTGACAGCAAGAATGAATTTGTATTATTTTCATTCTGTGAACGTCAGTTCAGCACTCTTACCTCTTATTGGTGTACCACCTGGGTGGATAATATGAATGCAAATAAGATTAGAAAGAAGAAGCATTAGTACGAGTAGATAGAGGCTGGGGGCTTTGGAAGAAGAATCAAATTAGATTTAACAGGGTACGTAAATAAAGGTACTAGAGGAAAGAGAAAGGAGAGAGAGAGAGAATAAGAACTTTTCTGTACTCTACTGGCAAAGAAAGACAGGATTCATCATAGAAAAATCATAGGTCAGAGAGAAGAACTTGTACATTGATGTACCACGGGGAGGTGCCATTTTGGAAGTGGCAATGGCTTCTGAGGACCATCTACTGAGGGGAAAGACTTTGTGGACTTTGTGTGTGAGATTGAGAGCAGACATATTTAAACAATTTAAGATCCCTTTGCTTCACCTGAGCTAAGCAGAACTGGACACCTCCCTAGAATTCTTGAAATTTACATACCCACTATGCTGGTATTGAAAGATTAAATAAGTGAGTAAGTGGTGGTCAGTGAGTGAGTAACATACATGTGAGGAGAGGTCATTACCCAGGTCAGTATATGACAAAACTAAGATAAGGTTTGGTGATTATAATCTCTAGATAAAGGTGATACTACTGTATATAGCTGGCAGTGGTGGGACACTTGAACACCGTGGGGGTGAGGGAAAAGTGTATGTGCCTCTAGTAGTAGCCCTGCCACTAAACTATCTGTTAGTAAAATGCATGCCATGCATTTTAATAGTTGTTGGAAACATGGAAATTAGTGGGGGGTGATGTGTGCTTTAGAGCTAAGCACTTACCAAAGGATTCTGTAGATTTAAAAATATAGAGAGAAGAAAGACAGCATAAGAATATGATTATATTCTTTAAGTAAGTTTAGTTAACAAAGGTTTCGTTAATGCTTGATCAACTACGTGAATCAAAGTCGCACATTAGAAATGAGGGTTAATTCTACACAGTTCTGTTGAAAACAAGTCAGCAGCAGGTAAGTAAGGTTAACAAGACGGTTTAACAAAGGACAGCTGTGAAATCTGTGAAGACAGGTGGTCAAACATACAAGACTTAAAATTTACAAGTAGTTGCGCTAATGCGTTGTCGTTAGCTGGCACATAAACAACCTGTTCTCACAGAAATACGTGAAATGACCACGACCTCTTAACACCTCATTCCGTGGTGGCAGCTCGTAATGGGTTGAAATTACATGCCGGTACCATGGAAACAATGCCAATGTAAAGTCAATTAGGATCCTTTGTTGTGGTGGACACACGAATTCCCTGATTGAACAACGTCACGTCAACCTCGTTTTCCTCAGTGATATCTTTAACATTCCTGTATACACACAAAAACATGGAAGTGTCCTTGATAACTCAACAATATGACAGGTTAATGTCAAGGCCATAAAATAAAATAAATGTATTTTGCCAGCTTTTGATAGCGTAGCGCTTTAAGAGCAATGTTCTGTGGGCGGATGGGGCGCGTTCCACTACTGTTTAGTAGCTACTGTCTGCGGGCTTCATTCCATTTCTGATTGTCGTCTGTCTGCTGTAACCGAATCCAAACGTCACTAATAAATAAATAAATAAGAAGAAAAAAATAAGGCTGAGCACGGAAGAACCAGAGAGGAAACACCATCACATGGAGCCGTCCGCCCCCGGCCACCCTCCACTCCACCAGGGGAGAGCAGACCCCAAACCAGCGCCACAGAACTGTTATAGAGAGCTCTTGACCTCAACTATCATGTGAGTGTAGTAAACAACTGTGGGTGCTGGCAGATATGGGCAAAATATGGATAAAATTAATTTTCACCCATTTAGAAATTAGATATTTAAAATCTGATTACACAGGTGTGTTTACCATCCCCTTAAAGTCCACAGTGTACTCTCAATTCAGTATTTACAACTTCCAAATCTAGGAAAAACACTTATATTTTTAAAAAAAAACTACAATTCCCTAGGACCGTGCAGCTTGATACATATCAGCAACATAGTTGTAATTCTTCTGATTTGCAAAGTAGGGCTCTAAATAGGGTTGAAAAAAAGATATATCTATCCAATATATCTAATATCTAGTAAAGCCGAACCAGTAAACACACTGCACCTAGATGAACTATGTTAAGAAAAAGTAAGGATGATGGCTAATTTTTGATATTTTAGCTAATATGCTAGAAATTGCGTTTTTAGGACGGTAGGTTTTTGCGGCTTGCAAAACAGAGTTGTAAAATAGGGTCTTAAAAAGGTACATCTACTTAATATATCTAATATTTAGTAAAGCCGAACTAGCAATGACACTGCACCTAGATGAACTAATGTTAAGTAAAAAAGTAAGGATGTTGGCTAATTTCAGATATTTTAGATAGTATTCTCGAAACGGCATTTTTGGGACGGTACGTTTTTTTGCGGCTTGTTAGAGTCGTAAAAAGATACATCTACTGAATATATCAAATGTCTAGTAAAGCCGAACTAGTAATGACACTGCACCTAGATGAAATATGTTAAGAAGAAGTAAGGATGATGGTTCATTTCAGATATTTTAGCAAGTTCTCTAGAAATGACATTATTGAATCAGGGAATTCGTGTGTCAACCACGACAAAGGATCCTAACTGACTTTACATTGGCATTGTTTCCGTGGTACCGGTACATAATTTCAACCCATTACGTGCTGTCACCACGGAATGCAATGTTAAGAGGTCATGGTCATTTCACGTATTTCTGTGAGATCAGGTTGCACATAAAGCTGCAAGCTATGTCAACTTTTTGGAAAGTAGAATAATCTCTTTGTATTGAGATACTGAAATCAAACTTGGGGTACTCAGGCGAATGGGTATATTAGGGTATGTCGCAGGCAAATAAAAACAAAGCTGGCATCTACACATTAAAGCAAGGGCTGTAAATCCAAAGAATCAAGGGGTGAGGGAAAAGCCTTATGAAGTTTTACGCACTACTGTGGCTAATTAGTGTCCAGAAACAGGTGTATTTCTTTAACCTAAAGATGCTTATGCTTATGCTTATACAAAGCAAATATTTATTCAGAGGAGGTTAAAGGATCCCTCTTTTGGAAGTAAAATTTCAACAAATGCACAAGGACGATGATTAATTTGCTATTCTACATGTTTTCCTATTTTAAAGTCATGTGCACTCGTTAGCAGATTCTGGATGAAGCCGAATGTTGAATATTAATTGTTTAAAAAAAAAAAGGCATAAGAAATGAAGAGAATGGATCCAAAGGAAAAAATACTGCACCAATGCAGTGGAAAGGAAATCAACACAAAACAGCAAAAGAATTCATTGTAAAAAGTCACAGCAGTGAGCAATGAGGGCAGAAGTTAGGGCAGAAGCCAGCAAAACACAGAGGGGGAACAATCCCAACAGCCCATGACAACACTGGAAGACAAAGGGAGACACACATACAGACAGCACACACCGGGGCGTACAGAGAGTAGAGGACAGGAAGTAGAAACAATGCCATTACCTACAAAATTAAAAGCCAAATGAGAAGTTAAATTATGGGAGGAAGAAGAGGATGAAAGAACAGAGGAGACAACAGGGGGAGCAGATCAGATAGAAGGCAACAAGAAAGAAGAATCCCTGTTTTCGTAATTAAGTTTTCAGCAGAGGAAACCTACCTGATCTGAGCTGCTTAATGCGCCCATTGTTGTTGGTGGTGTTGACAGGGAGGAAGTCTTTAAACCAGGAGATGTCTGGATCGGGGTTGCCGCTGGCGGCACAGAGCATGGTGGCAGTGCGTGTTCGCTCCACCACTTTCAACTGTGGGCCCATGTCTATGGTGGGGAAACCAGGGGGCAGCTGGTCCTCTGGAAAAAGATGAGAGACATTGTAGCAGAGGTCAGATTCAAAGAGTCAGTGTTCCTCCTCAAACCATGTGCAGAGCTAATGAGGAGGGAGAGCCAGTGGGAGTCATAGTCATGAGCCTGCAGAGCAACAGAATGAGCGACAGATCTATCTGCAAATGTTGGTCATGTGTCGTGTGTAGTTACAAAGAGACAGTAGAGGAGCAAGATAGAAGATGCTTTTTTTTGTTAAAGTGTTAACTCTGTAAGTAAAACATTAATTGTTTCTAAAGTCATGACATTTACAAACTGTTTTCCCTACCCATAATTGGTATTGACAAGGACACAAAATGAACAAAATGTGGAAAAGGACGACAGCACAGTTTAATTTCCAAGCAATTAAAAGGAAAGTTCAGGGGTATTTGGGGAAATAAACATAATCACATTCTTGCTCAGAGTTAGATAAAGATAAAGAGAAGATAAATACCACTCTCGTATCTGTCTGTTTAATTTGAAGCTGCAGCTTTTTTCATACATGTTCACATTCTATGGATCATTTTGTCACATAGATTCTCTGGATTGTAAGTTTATTATGTTCAGTTGCTCTTCCCAAGGTTTTTCCTTATCTGTTACAAGGGTCTAAGGACAGAGGGTGTCGTCTACTGTACTAGATGTCGACCGATAGTGGATTTTTAAAGCTCGATAAAATGATAGTTTGGAAAAGCCGATAGCTGATTAATTGGCTGATATCACTTTGCTTTGCTCAAGCACGGTAGCACTGGACCCTCTGTTGAAGTGCAGCCAAAAAATCATGAAGAACAATACACTTTCACAAACTCACACGGCAGAGCGGACCTGTTTTCTCTGGACCTTTACCCACTGATCAGCTCCTTTTTGCTCCATTTAACACAACCCTCCCCTCTTCAGCTCCGAGTGAGGATGCACTGGTGGAAGCTACACAGCCATCAGCTACTACTAGAGCCAAGTTCTGCCAATAATGATAGTTTGTGAAGCGTCTTATCGGCACCAATTAATCGGCCAAATCGATCATTTTGTCAACCTCTATACTGTGCACTACAGATTTTGATTTGTGATATTGGGCTACATAAATATAATTAACTTGACAGCTAGGAGTCACCGAAAAATAATTTTTTGGAGTGTTTTTCTTTAGATAACAGAGAGGAATAAAGTATAGCTACCCTGGCTAAACATGCATTCAGGTGAGGTGGGGCTTTGAAGTTCTTTGATGGTGGCAGGTGGCTTTGCTGTGTTGAATAAGCTGTCTTGTTCCTGCCTGTGTCTCAACTTACCGACTGAACAAGGCGGGCTACATCTTGCTGCCGTTTGAGATGTGAGGAGAAGATAACTCACGTTGCTCCTTGCTCCAAACATGTTCTTTTAGCAAAACAAAGGGAATCAAAGCCGAGAGCAGCTTTGTCTGAAGCTCACGGCTCCAAACAGGAAGTATTTTCAGCTTGCAGCAAGTGATGATCTTTGAGAGGGCGCAGAGTGGAATTTTCCATATGCCACGAGATCTCCGTATGCAGAATGTCTGCCTCTCTGCAAAGTTAGCTGAGTGTAAATCTGCAAAACAAGACCTGCTTATTCTGAATGCCAATGAGGTTTATGTGCACCTTTAAGTTTTCCTTTCCCCGCTGTGATATGGCTAATTAGTGTCTTCCGCTGCTCTCGTAAACGGCACCTTTTTGGAAACACTTTCTTCATTAAATTTTCATGAGGAGACATCAGTCTGGAAACAGCTTTGAGATGCCATAGCCTGCACACAGCCAAACGACAATCATGGCCGCCTTCCAACAATGCTTTTGGGTATCTGGCATGAGAAACCACCTCGATGGATAAATCTTCTCAGAAATAGACTGTATTACAAATGAGTGACTTCAGACTGAACTGCAAAACTTTCCGATGCAACTCTGTGTCCCTGTCTGAACTGACATATGTTTTGTTAGTGATTGAGGGGTGTTTTTTCCTTGCATGTTCTAATGGGCCAATCGCAAAGCAGCATTCTCTTAAGACTTCTCAAACTGGTTTTAATGGATTACTGTCCTCTATAATGTGAATACAGGTCATTTTCTTGGCAGTTGTGCACTGTTAGTTATACTGGGAATCTTGGCCCATGCATCCTCATACACTATGGTTTATCACTGTGTGTCCTTGACATGGTGTGCAATATATATATGTTATCTTTATCCCTTTCAGTATCCATTAAGGTAATGAGAGCTGCCCCGGCTACACTCTTGTTAAAAGTTTGTGGGCATCTGGCACTGTGTTTGCTTGTTGTTTGCACAAAATTGATGTGCTGCTCATTAAAACAATAACCACTTAGTCAATTCACCTCAGTCACACAGTGGCCATATTTAGTTAACATCGTAGTTAAAGTAGGAGAGTGGACAGAACTGATGCCAGGATAACAAAAATTCAGAAATTCCCCAAATGTTCTCTTTTTTATTCTGTCAGCTTGTTTTGCCAAGTTTGTATCTGTTTTACAGTCATTAACTGTGATTGCATGGTTATGGATGGTGTGTTCTATTAATTTTAGGTGTTAATGTGATAGGCGTCAAGAACTCTATTAGCTATTAGCTGTGTTTCTAATTTGCAATGACATAAACACAGGAAATAAAACTGCACTACATTAGGTACTGTGATCGTCATTCATAGAACAATTTCTCGTACATTTAAAAATATTCACACATACAGTATTTAAATTTAGTGCCTTCTCCAGAGGGAACAAAAGCAACAGAAGGAAGGTTGGTCATAACAACGCATCTTCTCTAAAAGCACCACATTAACTATCAAGCAACAGGGAAAAGTCTAATCTGAAAAACTGCGCTGCGGTGCTCATTCAAATGGAGAAAGACATGGAGGAGGGGGAAAGGAATTAATTGTACAAGGTAGCTCCTGTCCAAGCTCCCTTCAGCCTGTTCAAGGTCGAACAGACAATTAGTCGATTCTACAGTGAGTCAAAAGTATACCTGATCAAACACAATAGCCAGAAGCAAGCCTCGGAGCATGGATGCGTGTTGAATATAGTAATTGGATGTGACAATCCATGCGAACTAAAAAGCAACTCCTGTGAAATTGCAATGTATTCTCAAACAAAGTGCTCAAGAGATCATAATTTAGCTGTCCTTTAAGAAGTCAGAATTGTTCTAGCGCTGCAGTGTGCGATGTCCCTGGTTATTCAGCTCTAAGGAGCAAAGAAGAGGGTGTACGGTTAGTTTTAAATTGTAAATGATGCAGCTTATGTCAATATGATAGGTTTTCAAAATCAGGATCCTGCAGTAAAACCGTAGTTTGATTTAAACAATTAATTAGCTGCAGCGTGGCTTACTGAAATCATGAAAACATATAAAAAAAGAAGCTGGGTCAGACATACAAAGGGCACTTTCACCAAGCCCATCTTCCCTGTCCTATAGAATGTGTGTGTTACATGATGCTAGCCCGTAACTCCAGTGCAGGCAGCTGATATGACTCCAGGCAGTGCATTTAAAATTAATGATCTGTTACAAAGGTTTCTCGCCTTCTCAGTGCATTCTTGCTCAGCCCAGAAATGTATTTTACAGCTGCTTTGTGCACTCATGCTCATCTAGAATGGCCACAAAGTCATGACATCAACTGTGAGGTATCTAAAAACTTTTCTTGCATAGGACTTTAGATTAAGATAAAAAAAGAAAGGAATAATAAACAAGAGTACTCTGACGTTCTCAATCTCCTTGCAGCTCTCAGCTATACCCTCATTTACTTCCCAAAGAGAATTACCATTGTGATAATAAATAAAGGGAGGGAAATTGAACACATTTGCTAGCTTGTGCTGTGATTAACAGCTCACGTCAACAGAGCTGCTGCAGCATTTCCCTTACAAGGCAAAGAGACCAGAATGAAATCAGATTAATCACTATGTAATTTGAGCCACGGCGTGTTTGTTGTACGTTTTTGGAGAAGTTGGGTTATTGACAATGTGTTAAAAGTAAAGAATGAAATAATTAATCAACCAGGAGCCAAGCAGCTGGTAGTTTTTCCCATGTGCTATGTTTGCAGTTCCGCTAACAGTCAGGAGGTTGGTTTTCGACTTGTGGTTACATAAATTATCAGCAAGGAGCTACTTCATTACCCCTTTAGGAACCCTGAGCTGCATCCTGATAGGAGTGGAAATTGGACAAGTTTGATTTGCTTGTAGTGCATTTGTTTTTGAATGTGTGTTTTGGGGATAATATACTATGTGCTGTCTGAACTGAACATACAGCCCCAAGCTAGCTTGTACAATATATGAAAGTCAAAGCTGAAAGGTGAAAATATCAGAGAAAAAAAAAAAGGTTTTTACAGAGTTTCCTGCTTCCTTCTTCTACCTCGCTGAGAGCTGCAATCTCAAGGACAGCCTAAGACAAGGGCAGTTTCTGCTTTACAGACCCATACTGTATATTCAACAATGGATCTACACACTAAATGAGATGGAAGGGAGAGAAATGCTGAAGTCACCTTCTAGAGAAGTGCTGAGCACTGGTGCTTGATATAAAAAGACTCCCAATGACAATTTGCACACATTAGCCACTGCCAGGCTATCAGGCCATATGAGTGTGCGGTGCCAAGTATGGGAGGAGTATAAAAAGGACATTGGCTCAAAAAGTACCTCAGTGAGCAGATTTCTGCTGAAGACATAAGGCCACTGGACATAAACTCAACCCATTAGCAGATTATATCTATTGATCACTCATACAAAATACGAGCGCACGTGAAATCACATTTTCCTCGTATGAAAACAGCGGCCTTTTTTCTGAAATGGTGCTCGAGTGCAGCATAAATTCAGCACAATGTGTCGCCATATTGCAGTCGGTGCCAAAAAACACACACTCGCAGCCTCAGCTCAAAGTAAACTTCTTACCTGCTGTGGTGTAGTGGCTTGAGTGACAAACTCAAGTAATATCCTCCTTGTTTAGGCTCTAATTAAATAAGCCTAATTGAGTCTCAACAGATAAAGGTACCATTCAAATGTGATCTGTTACTGTTTA